TGAAGGATTTTCTCATACTGTAGGTTCGTGCAGAAAATGTTAGCATACGAAATGATTACCCTTACAGATAGGGGGATGAAGGGGGAATGTGATGTTGAATTACGGCATGTGGGGGAAATCATCACCTTTTTAGTAACAGCCTCTTCGTCATCCGGAATCTCAAACTTCATTCCCCGTAGCATATTTTGGATCTCAGCCGTGGCTTCTCTAACCTTTGCCCAGCTCTGTCCCTGCGCAATGGCCTTCTGGCTCTCATCATGGTACCCCATGAATGCCTTCATCATGTACTCCGTCTTCCACAGGGGGCAGAACTGGTCATAGTCGCTGTACCCGTTTTGCTGCAAGAAGTCATCCTTGAGTAACGCGGCGACGTCCAGGGTAATCTTGTCCGGATCACCAAGCGCCGATTTCCCAACGAGTTGGACGACCTGGTCCAGATCTTCGGAGTTGGTGAGCAGCTCTCTGATCCTGTTTCTGAGCCGGGGGAACTCCGGATGCTCCTTTGCGTAGTATTTATCGAGGACGTTGGTGTATTTACTGTACGAGACCGAAGTGTTGATGGACGGGAAGTGTTTGCGCTGCGCGAGCTTCTTGTCCAGACCCCAGAAAACTTGCACGATACCAAGCGTGCTGGACGTGACGGGGTCGGTGAAATCGCCACCGGGAGGGCTCACTGCGCCAACGATGCTGACGCTGCCTATTCGCTTGGGGCTTCCTAGAGCTATGCTCTTGCCGGCGCGTTCATAGAAGGAGGCGAGTTTGGCACCGAGGTAAGCGGGGAAACCCTGGTCAGCAGGCATTTCTCCCAGACGTCCTGAGATCTCACGGAGGGCCTCGGCCCAGCGAGAAGAAGAGTCTGCCATCATAGCGACATTTTTACCCTGGTCACGGAAATATTCTGCAACAGTGATACCGGTGTAGATGGAAGCTTCACGGGCAGCGACGGGCATGTTGGACGTGTTGGCAATGAGACAGGTACGTTTCATGATGGGCTCCTTACGGCCGTCGATGGTGATTGAGAGCTGGTTTGCCAAGTTAGTTTTTTAAGAATTCTATACGTGCAACCAGGGTAACAAATGTTCCCCTACCTCTGGGAAATCCATCAAGACTTCGGCCATCTCATTTCCACGCTCGCCGCATCCAACGTATACAATGATATCGCTGTTGGAGAATTTGGAGACACTCTGACTGATGACTGTCTTCCCGCATCCAAATGCACCGGGGATACACACTGTTCCGCCTTGGACACTAGGGAAGAGCGCATCAAGGACACGCTGGCCGACAATAAAAGGCGAATCAGATGCCAGCTTCTCGTTGACGGGGCGAGGGGCACGAACTGGCCACTGGTGCACCATGCTATATTCATATCTTTTGCCGTCGAACTCAACTTCCAAGAGCTTCTCGTCGACGGTGTAGCTACCGGGTCCCGCAATGCGTGTAATAGTGCCCCGTGCGCGGGGTGGTAGGAGGATCTTATGGTCATCCAACAGGCTGTTCTCCCACACACTGCCCCAGATGTCACCGCCGGTGATATGGTCTCCGACTTTGAGATTGGCTGGCTTGAAGTCCCATTTCTTTTCTCGGTCGAGGGCTGGGATGGAGATACCGCGCGGAATGTAGATGCTGCCGGAGGCGTCGGAGATGGCTTTGAGAGGTCGCTGGATACCGTCGTAGATCGTCTCCATCAATCCCGGGCCGAGTTCTACAGACAATGGTTTTCCGGTTCTGTACACGGGATCGCCAACAGTGACTCCGGCTAGATAGTTAAAGGACAAACAGGTTAGTCTTGGCTTTGGGAGAGGCCCGGGAGGGTTCCGTTCAAATCACCTGTTTCCTCGTAGACCTGAATTGTAGCTTTGTCCGCATCGATTCGAATAACTTCTCCAACTAGTTTGTCGTAGCCCACTTGACACTAGAAACTTGGATATCAGAAAAACAAGGGGTCTCCAGACGAAGCTTCTCGGGGGACTATCGGCTGATTTGGACACCCACCAGTTCGTACATCGCGCAGCCTATCATGTTCTCCGCCACGACGACGGGTCCAGAGACCGAGTAAATTGAACCATGGTGTTCCTCGCCGGGCTCCGCGTGATTTCTCTTCGAGTTTGCTGGGGACATGTCGAGAGATGAAGTGTGCGAAACAACAGGCAGGGAGAAGAGGGGGAGGGGGAGAGGAGCTGGAATTCCGTTGCTGCTGCTGCTGCTGTGGCGTTGTCGTTGGTATTGATGATGATTGTGCTGATTATGTTGGTGATAATGCTCGATGAGGAGGTGGTTGGATTTGAGAGACTGCCTAAGGTTGGGCTGTGGCGTAAGCGGCGGATCTTTTGACAACCCGGTTCTGGGACTGGTAAAGGTGGGAGCAGAGGGACGGCTGGGAGGTTCGTCTTTGGACACGACGAGGTCTATGAGAGATGGCCGCGATTTTAAGGATGGTCGACCAAGGCCCAGCATATGATCTTGGGAATCGGAGCCCGGAAGGGTAACTTTGAAGTGTAGTTGGGTTGGGTGATGCGGGTGCAGGGCTTCAGGTCTCCTCCTCCCAACTTGGTGGTTTGGGCAGGTTGGGCGATGATGCCTGTGGTTGGCGCTTGACAACAGCCAACCACAGTGAGATCCAGCGCTGTATTTTGGAACAAGCATTTTTAACTAAATCCCTCGCTAACTCAATCAGTGGACATACTTTATCTGATTCTAATTCTATGATTGTGCAACTCTTGATTGATTGCATCTGCTACGGGAGTAAATATCTAATTTGACTGATGCATCAATAAATACAAAGGCTTTCTTTACCATCGATTTATCACCTGTGTTCCTAGAACGGAATCCATCCGCCGACATCGTCAACAACAACAACAACATCATCATCATCATCATCATCATCGGGTGTGCAGCTTCATCAGGCCAAAGAGGGGAGTCCGGTGGGTCTGTTCACTCCGCCTATACTTGCATACTTCGGGTGGTAGCTGAAAGGGCAAGGAGAGAGAGAGCAACTATTCCTGCAGTCCCCCAGGTCAGTGTATAAAATGACTGGAATATTTGTATGTAAGCAGTTGTCGCAACGTTCACTCTTAAGAAGAGCTAAGAAGGCAGAGATTTTCCTATTTTTATCGAAAGTAATTAATAGGGCTGAGTGTTGCTGCTCCAGCGCTCAAGGTCGTGCTGAAAGAAGCGATCATCAAGAATACAGAGATGATGTCAATCAACGGCAAACAATTAGCTGGCTGACGGAGGAGAGATGGGAAGGCATTAAACCTTGAGAACGAGGAGGAACGGTGAAAGATAAGAAATATTGTATCTCAGAGCTCTTTCGAGTACCCTGTAGAATTCCTTGACGATCAATAAGCTTCAACCTGTTTCCTCGCAGAGAATGGATCTCCACATGCCCCCCGGTCCAACGGCAGATTTACCCGGCTGGTCAGGGCCCGGCGGATTTCATCAAGGAGTTGATTAAACTCGCGGTTTCTGGATGGCATTGCTTCTTGAAGAAATGCGCGATGTGTACAACTTCTCAATCTCCTTCTGATAGAATTTCCTGCAAGGAATGTTTTGGCATGTCTGGAAGTTTTGTGGCCCCGGTCGAAGATGAGAGATGAACTGCTAACTGTACTGTACATACATCCATACACCCATACAATAGTTAGCTGCACTCGATGCAGGTGTGCCCGTGTGAAAGGATAGAGACAGGAGTGTAGTTACGAGAGCATGTTCCGGCAAGACTCCAAAAAACAAAAAACAAAAAAACAAAAACAAAAAAAACAAAAAAACATTCAAGCCTTCTCTCAAAATCCAGGGCTTGCTGCCAGTGCCGTGTGAACAAGTCTCTCCGGCCGCCAAGGGACTGACAACCTGTGACCGATGGGCAACTTTGGCTAATATGTATTTATCTTAGGTTAGGTTAGTAGCTCGCTCATTGGCTATGCATGACATTATTGGGGTTGAAGAGAGTAAGTAGTTTAGGTGATTGGGGGAACGTTGGATAAAAACAGTTTTACTAACCAGCCATCACCCGAGATATGATAGTTAGCTAGTTATTGTGCCCTGTAGTTAGTTATATAACATCATTCCTGTCCATGTGAAGGCTCATGTCAGCTGTTTCAAATTTTCTTGGACTCGAAACCAATTAATTTAACACCTCAATCCCGCGCCTAAAAATTCCCCAGGTAACGTACTGTACGTTGCATCTATTGCACACTGCACAGACATATGCACGCAACGAATAAAAGTGATTCTATTTTGAAGTGTTTTTCCCTCAAGTTGAGCATATTTTGTCATCCTGGAACCCGTTCAGTCAAACAGCAGGCAAATAACTCTCTGTGACTCAGAGATATCGCTGAAGAAAATGAAACGGCTTATAATCAAGGGTTTCACTTTGACTATCACAACAACAATCAATTCTAGACCAATTAATGGTCACTCTCTCTGGGGCTAATCTCTACTTTATCTAGGTAATCTTGTTTGTTAGAGTTCTGAGAAACATGCCAGGGATTTGCTTATTATTAGTGCTAAATGACCGAATCAAGATTGGAGCACGCCGCAGCAGCGGGCGAAGCGATCTTGGAAATATTTTCGACAGGGAGATGGAAACCCCTCTACAAGCAATGCCAATTTTCACAGTCCCATTTTGCTCTCTAGCATCAATTTTATATATATATATATATATATATATATAAATTCCGGAGACAGAGGAAGAGAAATTGAAGTAGATGATAGTGAACTACCGTTTTCCTACCTAGTTATATGCTTCGGGTAATATTACGTCACTGGCCATGGATCTGCTCTTGGGCTGTGTCATGTTGAAAGTTTGTATGCGTACGGTCACGGTTCAACCGTGATTATTACTTTGGCTGGGAAAGGCAGTATCAATTTAGCGGTCTTGTGATCTGGGCCATCCAAGTCACTCCCGGCTGCAGACTGTATGCCGGAGTACATGCATGGTTGGTTACCATACACGTGTTTTGTGTTAGAGCCTATTTATTCATCTTCAACGACGTCTCTCGTTCTGCACCCCATTTCAACGGCTCTTCTCCTCCCCTGACCCGGTGTGCATGTTCGTCGTGTTCCCGCCATCCCAACTGCTGTTGTCCCTCGAGCTTGGAAATTGGGGGAAATGTGTGCTGCCCCCCCTCTGTTTGGTATCCCGCCAGTTAGCATCATCCCAGGCTCCCTCCTTGCTGTAACCAAAGGTTGGTCCTTTTGTTTCTGCTGCTCGGCATAAGCGCCACGGCGACGACAGCACACCCAACTCTCAAACGCATTTCTATCTGGCTTTGTTTCAACACCCTCGTCAGCATCCTTGATATCGGCCTTCTCAATCGAGTGGCTTCTTGAAAGAGTTACTGCCCTCCAGTCCAAGACCAGCTCAAACATATTTAGTTACCTGATCCAACCTTACTTATATTCCCTCCTCCTGTTTCCTCCAATCACTTATCGTTCTTCCCAACAGCGCAGCACCACCACGACAACAAATCTCCCTCAGTGCTTTTGGAAGACCCGGACCAACCTGACATTGACCTGAACCGGACACACCCAAAGACAGTCGGCCGCCTCATTGAACACGACAAATCCGTGATCATCACAGCTCCATCGGAGGAAAAGAGCTCGTGGCGTGTGTGGCCAGCTCCAGAGCTTGTGGATCTGGCTGCGGAACGCTCTCTTGTTTCCTTTCACTAAATAGGCCTCTTCAGCTGGTTCTGTATAGAGCCAGGCTGGAGGGCTAAGCAGCAACTTCGATCTGGCAGACGAATCTCCTTCACATACTCCCGCCCCAGCCGCTCCTGGCCCCTCCAACCCTTCAATAGTCCTCCAGTCTGCACCTACCCCTCCCATACCTATTTCCTCGACCGCATCTGACGTCCAGATCAGCCACGAGAATCCCCCCCCTTCTCTCTCAAACAACGTGCCCCCTCCGGGGCTTCAAAGCTTAGGTTCTCACACCGGTCATCGTGAATCTGGCGAGCTTGGTTCTCACCAACCTAACCACCGCCGCCGTCGTCGGGAACGAACTCCTGATCAGTCCGAAAGGGCTGGGTCGAGGTCCAGAAATCTTAGTCCAGGCCAACGCAGACGCAGACGGTCTGTTGAAGAACACGCAAGGGATATCAACGGGGACGATTTTCCTCCTTCGCCCAAGCGCAGGCGCCTGGTGGATACCAACATGCGGTCTGACGGCGGAGCTTCGACTTCAAACACGAACGGCTTCTCTCCCATATCAAATGGCTCAACCACCTCTCCCTTACGAAAATCTGCTGTGGCCAGCTCAACTAACGACAGATCCCCCCACTCAAGCTCAAATGGCCAATCCCACGCAAACGGCTCGGGAAAATCACCTGCTTCTCTCTCTCCTACATATTTTGGTCATGACCGGCAAGAAGTGACTAGGATTTTAATCCAAAGTTTGCACGACCTGGGATACGATGAGGCAGCGTCCACCTTAAGCCGGGAGTCAGGGTTTCAGCTCGAAACTCCCGCCGTGGCTGCTTTTAGGTCAGCTGTACTAGATGGGCGATGGACTGATGCGGAGGGCATATTATTGGCTTCGTATTATTCTGATGGTGGAGGTGGAGGAACTTCTACTATCCGCGGAACAGAGTCTGATATTTTGCCTGAGCACGACTTTCTTATCTTAGCGGACGGCGCGGACAAAAACGAGATGCTCTTCCGCTTAAGACAACAGAAATTCCTCGAGCTACTAGTGCAGCGGGATCTTGGAACGGCTCTGATGGTCCTTCGACAGGAACTAACGCCGCTAAACCATGATATCGCACAGCTGCATGCACTCTCTAGGTATGCTATTTTTGGAACACCGAAGTTGACTTCTAGCTTGAAGGGTTTGAGCTAACATCTTAGTAGACTTTTGATGTGTCCTGCGGATAGCTTACGTGCGCAAGCGGGCTGGAATGGCTCAGTATTGCAGTCACGACAGAAACTGCTGTCAGACCTATCGAGTGAGCTTTTTTCCTGCAATAGTCCCGTATCCTGAAGGATTATTACTTACGTATTCTTTATCTAGAATCTATATCCCCCGCTGTTATGATCCCCGACCACCGATTAGCAGTTTTGCTTGACCATGTGAAGGAAAATCAGATCAACCAGTGCTTATATCATAATACTGCAATGCCTCCCTCACTCTATTCAGACCACCAGTGCGACCGATCCCAATTTCCCTTACGAACATCCCTCGAACTTACTGAACTTACGGATGAAGTCTGGTACCTCGAATTCTCCCATGACGGCACCAAGCTAGCAACAGCGGGTCGCGAGAACCTCGTCATCATATACGATGTTGCTACCTTTGCTGTCATCCATAGGCTTACCGATCACGGGGGATCCGTTGCATATGCAACATGGAGTCCTGATGATACCAAACTTATCAGCTGTTCTCACGATTATAAGGCCAGGCTATGGGATGTTGAAGTATGCTATTTTCCTTCCCTTTCAGCTGTTTTCATAACTAACAACATCCACTACAGACTGGCCGTTGCATCCTAACCATCGATCACCACCATGAGCCAGTGACCTCTGCCGCATGGGCTCCAGACAGTGAGTCATTCGTAACCGGATCCCTCGACAGCCAATCCCAGCTCTGCCTCTGGAGCGTTGTAGGCGAGTCTCTTTACAAGTGGTCAGGCAATTACCGAGTACGAGACTGTTCAATTTCTCCCGATGGCAGTCGACTGGTTGCCATATCGACGGAGAAAAGCGTCTACGTATATAATTTCGAGACCCGAGTCGAGGAATATAGCATGACCCTCAAACTGGATCTCACGTGCGTCAATATCAGCCGAGATTCGAGATATATGTTGCTTAGCACGTCTGAATGCGAAGTGCAATTGTTGGGCATTGAGACGGGGGAAGTTGTGCGACAGTATCTTGGGCAGAAGCAGGGCAATTTTATCATCAGGAGTACGTTTGGTGGCGCTGCTGAGAACTTCGTCGTCAGCGGTAGCGAAGGTAAGCTTCTAAAACTGTTATCATAAAGAGGAGCAGCCATCTTGCGACGTTCATTAACCGATATTATCGAATGGTGTAGATTCAAAAATCCACATCTGGCACAAGGAGAACTGCACGCTCGTCGCAACACTCCAGGGCCACGGACACGGTTGCGTCAATGCGGTATCATGGAACCCGAAGGATCCTGGAATGTTTGCCTCGGCGGGGGACGATCATAAAGTTCGAATGTAAGTGCTTTCGAGCAAGCTTCGATAGTTACAAACGGAGGAAATAGAGAAAATAACTACTAATATGCACCCCTATCAACCAGATGGACTAGGGATCCGCCAACTTGCACCCCTGTCTCAGGGAAAGTACGGATGCCGTCGAATGGCGCGGCACGGACAAGCGCTCTAAGATCTACCTTCAACCGATCCTCAAACTTCTGAAGTCATCACGCTGTGACGTGTTCTGGTTGCATCCCCCTGAATTCCTTTGGCAATCTAGTTGTCCATTTCGCCCATAGCGGTTGCCCTGCCGCCCACTCGCCCACACACCTGCATGCATTCATACATACATACATAAATCTCGTTCCCCTATGTAACCATCTTAGCTATTAAACTCAGATATAAGCATTGCTGCGTATCAAGCAATATTTTCCCCCTTTATTTTTGAAAGGATTGCATGTTCTCTCTCTCTCCCCCCCCTTTTTTTCCCGTCTCAAATCAAATAATCCCGTCCAGAAAGCAGATAGACCAGAAATTTTAATAGAAAACCCAGTATTTTCACAAAACGGAGAAATATCATAAAAGTGTGAAGGGGAGAAAAAAAACAGAAAATAAAAGAACAGAAAGAACAGTTTCATACGATAATAATCAACGTGCCCCCCTTCAATTGTGAGAGATACATTAAGCTCCTATGTGTGTCCTTGTTCCCACTCCTCATTCTCAATTGTGATACACTTTCCATCTCCTTCATTCCTCCCTCTCTACGACTCTTCATCCCTCAATTCACGGTATCCTTTAACAGGTTATTGAATACCTTTTCCAAACGGGGTTTGGCAATTAGCATTTTACTTGGCCTCGTCTGAAATCTACCCAGCTAGCTAGCTATGTGTTCTTTTGATCATTGAAACCGAATTTTTTGGTCATATATGTAGGGAACGGATGGGCCGGATATGGGAGCAAGGCGGAATTTATTTTTCTTTTCTCTTAATTTATATTCCTCTTGTCCCTACCACCGAGCGGCGGATTCTCTCTGAAAATCACAAATATTCAACCCAATTGTCTGTTTTCAAGTCTTATTTCTTTCTTTCTTTTTTTTTTTTTTTGGGGGGGGGGGGAATAAAAGTTCCTGTTTGTTGTTTTTTGTGAAGACGATTACGTATATTTGAAACATAAATGCATGATACAGATGGTTTCCCCCTTGGGACATGCGTTCCCGGGGGACTGCGGGATAATCATTAGCAAGTTAACCATAGTCATGCAGATAATTGGCTGGGTGTTGAGGCAGCTGGACTTGAAGTGTAATTGATTTGAGTATTATCTCCTGACACTGGGTTGTGGTAAGAGCCATAAACGGCCGTCCTGCCATGCAGGTCTAGGCTGACAACATTTGCTTTTCAGAGACAACACTGCTCGAAAACTTGCTCATTGTACAGATTGAATGTCCTCGAAGCTCGAAATAGACATCGCATGCCCTAGCACATATATCAAATGTTTGTTGCTAGCTACCAGGTAGTTATGTCGCAGTGTCCCCCCCCATCATAAAATTGCAGGAAACATATCATATCGAAAGGAATAGCAGATGGGGGAAGTGTTTTTCATCCCGGATTTCAAGATTTATATCAGACGCGGATTAAGTAGATTCCTCTCGTTCGCTGGTTCTCGATTATGAGGGACCAGTAAGATGGCTTAAGGATTTGATTTGGGGAAAATAGACAAAACAAAGAAAACCCAAGCGTCAGGCTGATTTTGACACAGATACTAGAAGTCCTAGACGGTGCACAGTGTTGGTCGCAGGGGACACATTAAGAAAAGAAAAGAAAAGGAAAGAAGAGTAGAGTATCTCTGATAAATAGATAATGTGGGAGGACAGTCAGTTTGCATTTCACAAGACACAGCTAAGACAGAGTTACGATTGGCTGAGCATACCAATTTAGAATGTATCCCCTTTCCTCCACAATTCTATTGACCTTGACAACTTCCATCTTAGGGAATAGGCTGCAAAAATGATTGCCGGCCTACTCCAAACTTGACGGGTTGAGTGTATGATAAACTGGCTTCCTCTTCCTGTGCAATACGATTTTTCTGCATTTCCACTCCAACTGACGGATCAACTAGGTGAGAAGGTCGGCAACTATTGCATAAAATCATTAGTCACAGGAACAAACACAGCGACGGAAAAGGAAGTAAAATGCCGTACCATTCATGGGCATCTCATCGATCTGGGTAGAGTAATATAACTCGATATCTCTCAAGATTCTGACATCCTCGCTCGTCACGAAGTTGATAGCAACACCTTTGCGTCCGAAGCGGCCACTACGTCCGATTCTGTGTATATAGTTCTCACGATTGCTAGGGAGGTCGTAATTGATGACCAGAGAAACCTGCTGCACATCGATACCTCGAGCCCAGACATCGGTTGAGATAAGAACGCGAGAGTTTCCTTGTCGGAAATCCTGCATAATACTGTCGCGCTCCTTTTGTGGCATTTCTCCGTGCATGCTGGAAACGGTGAAGTTGGCTTCACGCATCTTATCAGTGAGCCAGTCTACCTTGCGTCGAGTATTGCAGAAAATAACGGCTTGGGTAATGGTAAGGGTGTCGTAAAGATCGCAGAGAGTATCAAATTTCCATTCCTCTTTCTCTACAGCAATGAAGTACTGTTTTAAACCTTCCAGGGTCAATTCGTCACGTTTGACCAGAATGCGAACTGGATCTGTCATGAATTTTGTAGTCATGTCGAGAACATCGTAGGGAAGCGTGGCAGATACGACGACAACCTGAGTGGCCGGAGGAAGATAGCGGTAGACATCATAGATCTGTTCACGGAATCCGCGGTTCAAAAGTTCATCGGCTTCGTCGAGGACGAGCATTTTGATATTTCGGGTTCGAAGATGGCGACGACGGATCATATCAGCAACACGCCCGGGGGTGCCAGAAACAACATGCTGGCCATGGTCGAGTTTCCGAATATCTTCACCAACGTTGGTGCCGCCGATACAAGCGTGACATTGTACGTTCATGTAGTCCCCAAGAGCCATAACAACGGACTGAATTTGCGTGGCAAGTTCGCGCGTGGGCGATAGGACAAGAGCTACAAGAAACATATCAGAAACTGGTAGAAAAGCAAAGATAGATAAAGTCAAACTGACCTTGTGTTTCTCGGAGAACTGTGTCAATAACTTGCAGAATACTGATTGAAAATGTCGCGGTTTTACCAGTACCGGACTGGGCTTGTGCAATTGTATCACGCCCCTTGCAAATTTGGACGATTGCGCGGGACTGGACAGCTGACGGCGATTCATATCCGTATGCGTAGATGCCGCGCAGGAGGTTTTCCTTCAAGTGCATGTCCTCAAAGGTGGGCGCGACAGTCACCTCCTTCGAGGTCGTGAACTCCATCCGCTCTATGTAAGGATTAGAGACTAGTAGAGAAGAAACAGCTTGGATAGAAACACGTACCCTCTGCTGTCCTATCGATTCCTTCCGCCATGGTAAACAGTCAGATATCCCGAGTTAGGTCAGTAAATTGGAGGTGTATGCAGGAATAATATTGCGCTTCGCTGCCGTGTTGTTTGTTGTGCTGGCAACTGAATGAAATCTTGAAGCTTTTTTAACGACCAAAAGTCAAAAGAGGTTGAAAGGCGCACGCTGGTGAGTGTTTGCTTTGTTTGATTTGCCACGTGACACTTCTCATTCCAATTTCCTGGAGCATTTCCCAGTTGTCAACCTTGCACAACTGGATAACTTGCGGGGGATCAACGAATTCTTCAGCTCAAGGCAACGATCTAGGAATAGCAGAAGAGTTGCAAACATGCTGATCGAGGACCAGCGGTTCATTCACGAAGATTTGGAGAGACTTGAGCAGGGAATCAGTGATCGCGTCTCAGATGAACCCCGAAATGTGCGCCAATACCTTGCTATATTATGATGTTTCGTCTAACATGTTGTCTGCAGATTCGAGACCGGTTAAACCGAGATCATCAAATTTCAGGCTTTCTTAACCGTATCCAACAACAATCGGAAAGGCTATTAGATATCTACAAAGATGTGGAAGGTCTGCGAGCGAAGGAAGTACAGGCTATATCGACTGGAGAGCCCTTCGATGAATTCTACAAACGATTAGATGAAATTAAAGATTTCCATCGACGATACCCTAATGAACCCGTTGAGAACCTTGAGCGAGCATATAAGAGGCGACACCCCGGTGAAAATGAGGGATTCGGAATGGAAGTGGAGAATATGTTCTCTGGAGAAGAATCGTACGGCCAGTTTTTCGACCTCACGAAGATCCATGAAGACTACCTGAATTTGCCTGGGGTGAAGAGACTCACATACCTACAATACCTTGACCTATTCGACGTGTTCACGCAGCCCCAACTACCCATCAAACGGAGCAACAAACTTACCGATAAGTATTTCCAGTATGTCGGAGATCTTGCCGCGTACTTAGAGAGTTTTATCAAACGGGTTAAACCTTTGGAACCTCTCGACAAACTTTTCAACGGCTACGACGGAGAGTTCGAAAAGCTATGGCGAGAAAACAAAGTTCCTGGATGGGAAGAAGAAACCACAGCAGAAACCATCTCCGGTCCCAAGACTGAAGGAACTGGTGAGGGAATTTGGTGTCCAGATTGCGAGAGAGAATTCAAAAACCACAATGTCTACAAGAATCATCTCACCGGGAAAAAGCACATTCGCGCTGCGGAGGCCCGTAAAGCCGATGGGTCCTCCAACGCTTCCACGCCCCATCCAAATGGTGACACTGGTGGCGTTGTCGCCGCGGGCCGTCGCCTGAAGGAGCGTGCAATTGCTGAAAGAGAACACCGTGTACGATCGCTGGCCGCAACTCTAAAAGAAGAAAGACAAGCTACACGGGTTAATGTGGAACGGAAACAGGGAATGACAGAGAGAGAACGGCAGATGGAGCTCGATGCTCTCTTTGCAGAGAGTGCAGAACCACCGGAAATACGGCATGGGGATTCAGATTCTGATAGTGACAGCGAGGAAAAAATTTATAATCCCCTCAAGTTGCCGCTTGCATGGGACGGCAAGCCTATCCCATACTGGCTCTACAAGCTGCACGGCTTGGGGGTGGAACTGCCTTGTGAAATATGCGGCAACTTCGTCTACATGGGACGACGTGCTTTTGACAAGCACTTTTCGGAAGCTAGACATATCTACGGGCTACGATGTCTTGGAATTACACAGCAGACTAGCTTGTTCCGAGAGATCACCAAGATCGAGGAAGCGTTGAGACTCTGGGAAAAACTAGAACAGGATCGGAAAAAGGAGAAGGAGTCTAGAGAAAATGTGGTACAGATGGAAGATGCCGAAGGCAATGTGATGCCAGAACGAATATATCTTGAGTATGTACTCTTCCGTTCGTTCCTCCTCACTGAATTAACTAGGATGGTATACTAACGGTGATAAAACAGTCTCCAGAAGCAAGGCATCTTGTAGATAGCGTCCTTTAAATAGTGATATTTCTCGTTCGTGTATTTTATTTAACCGTTGTTGGCGATCGGAGCTTTCGGCACACCATTGAGTACGTCCGGGCGTTTGGAATAGATATCCTACCTACGTTATGGGAAGAGTCTACTACGTTGACTATTTACCTTCTCTGGAGTGCACTAAGGAATATATACTACTGGCTATAAAATACTTTGATAATACATCCATCAGGTTCTTTGGCTGCTCTTTTATAGCAGCAAATGGATCAGCGTTTAGTCATGTGATCTGGTGATACTTTAGTGACGGCCAAAAAAAAATTCACACTTTAACCTCCATGGATTGACTCCATTGTTGCATCAAAACCCTGGTTTTCTCCAGCTTCATCTTTCTACCTAATACTGATGGTTGCTCCGGTAGCCTATATATATCTGATGCCATTATCTCCGTTATCTCGATAACTGGATTGCTGATATCACTGTATTTAGGCGCGTCTCTCTGGTAAGTCAGTGCGACGTTTCTCATCGGCGCATTGTGGTGATCTCCGGTATGACAATTAGGGCATCGCATTTTGCCATTAGTGGGATGTTATGGGATTTAAGTTTTCCTATGTGTGCGATCTCTTTTCTAACCTCGAGGCCAACCTTACCTTGAAGGTGTCAAACGCATCTATCTAGAGAAACCCAGATCTTGCAACCATTGAAAGCTGGTTTAGTCACTATGCGAAGCAAATCCATGACGGAAAGAAGGATCGTCTTGCTCTGCTATCATGTTTGTTTCCGGAAAGGCGCCCGGAGAGAGTATTTGGTTTAAAGGAGCCGACGCTCGTCAAGGTTATTGGTCGATGTCTTCTTCTTGGGGTGACAAGGAGACAGGAATTGGATTCGTATAGGACGTGCGGGGATGGGGATCTGGGGAATTATGTGGAAAGTGTGATGAAACAAGCGGAGAATGACATCCATGAGGAGTCTGGAGTAACTGTTGAAGAAATCGACAATGTCTTAAATCAGATTGCATCCAGATGTCGGTTCTCCGGCCCAGATTTGAGGCGACAGCGAACAGCTGCAAACGTGGATGAAGCACTGTCGCCAGTTTTTCGGCGGCTTACAAGTCGTGAAGCCAAGTGGTTTACAAGAATTATTTTGAAGGATATCAGCCCCATAACCTTGCCTGCTCTCTTTGTCTTGCGAAATTTTCACTTTCTTCTTCCGGAGTTGCTTCTAGTGCAGGATTCTTTTGGGGCTGTGCTAGATTTACTGAGCTGTGACCCTATGAGACGATTTCCTCCTCTCCCAGATCCCCAATATGCTAAGCTTCAGGTTTCTTTTGCCGCATCTCATATACCCCTTACCGTTGGAATAAAGGTTGGAAGGCCAATGTTTTACAAAGCCAGAGGGGTCAAACATTGTTGCAAGATGGCAGGAAGACGCACAATGAGTGTGGAACGCAAATATGATGGAGAGTATTGCCAGATACATATTAATCTTGCCAAACGACCGAACTGCATACAAATTTTCTCAAAAAGTGGCAGAGACTCAACTGCGGACAGGAGCGGTGTTCATTCCACTCTAAAGGAATGCCTAAGGATTGGAAAATCCGGCAGCAAAATTTCCCGGAACTGCATTTTAGAGGGAGAACTTCTCGTCTGGAGTGATGTGAAATCGAAACTGCTGCCGTTTCATAAACTTCGAAAACACGTTGCTAGATCTGGCTCCTTCATTGGGACAAAGAACGATTACCAGTATGTACCAAATTTAAGTTGAGGACTGTGCTTCTTCATCACAGCTGACAGAGAGCAGGACACATTCCTACGAACACCTATATAATGTTTTTTGATATATTGTTGATTAATGATGACGTTTGTTTACCGAAATCGTATCGAGAACGCAGGGTGCTACTAAATGAAATTGTCCACCCTGTCAAAGGGCGTGCTGCGATTGTGGAGCAGGAATATATCAATTTTTCCTTGCCAAATACTGAGGAGGTTTTGAAGGCTCATTTCTCTAGGGCTATTTCTCAGTGCTAGGAGGGGCTTGTTTAAAAAGGCAGTGAAGAGCCGTACTTTGCTATCGACCAAAATGAAGATCCTAACATCGGACACTGGATTAAATTAAAGAAGGATTAAATAACAGGGCTCGGTGATACCGCAGATTTCGCCATAGTCGGGGCCAGGTACGATGCTCGCGAGAGGCGATGAAAGTGGTGGAGGTAAAAGGCCTCACGTGGACTTCGTTCTTTGTAGGATGCAGAGAGAAGAATGGCAGATCCTTCTACAATTCGGGACCGGTATTCCGCATAGTAGACGTTGTCAACCGAAACAACATGAACATTCAACTCATACGAACGCTAAATCAATTCTGCCAGTTTTGCAGTTGTGTTTTGGATGATGAGGATCTTCCATTTTCCATCAGAAGCGATCAAATACAACTGCCTGAACCACAGGTTCTTTTCAAAACCCCTTTTGTGGTTGAGATGCTAGGAAGTGGTTTTAAGAGATCTCCAGGTGTAAACTATTTCACATTACGATTTCCCCGGGTTCTGAAGATACATAACGACCGGGATGTTGAGTACGCTACAACCTTAGAGGAACTGCAGATGTTGGCAAAAGAGGCCAGCTCAGTCCCGACGGATGAACTATCGCAGGAGTGCATCCGGTGGGAGGAAAAGATAGAAGCTGCAGATGGCAACCCCGGATATATCATGGATGCGTCAGAGCAATCGTCCATGTCTGTGGCCTTAAGACTCTCACCAACGGAAGTATACAATTAATCTCCCAATGAACACAGAGACTCATTGCCTAAAGTTGAACAGGATATTTTACCTGAATTACCACATAGTACAGAGATAGCTCCCTCGGCGCCAGCACTTTCGTCACCAAAACCAACAGAAATTAGTATTTGCCAAAGTGCTCCGAGAAATGCAAGCCAGAAACGATTTAAAAGATTGAGATCACAATCACCTTGCATCATAATACATGCAGACAATACGTATACAATGACGAACACCAACATTTCAAATTCACAGGAGGACCCGATGAGTCGCCATTTGGCAAATCTCACCAACCTATCCCAATCCAATACAAATCAAACCAACCACTGTTTCTCTGATAGTCAGAGCGTAATGGATTTGACAACAATCCCCAACTGTCAAGTAGAATGTATGGCAACCCCTGGACAGTGTACAGAAGTCGAATCACAGGGTTCACTTGAACCAGGCCAGCAAGCTGCAAGCCAATCATGTAGCCAGCATCAACTACCCCTTAAAGTCAATGTTGGCTTCAAGCGGAGAAAGCTATCAGCACAGGCATCTGTCAGTTTGGACGGCATGATCGGGTCTACCAACCTCTCTCTCAGACCCCCAGCCTTCCTATCTGAAACACCCATCCTGATAGGAACTGGAGTATGTCATAATGGGATTCACCGCATTTTCCACAATGCAAATCAACACCTCACTTCCTCCTTCGCTGATTTCCTCGACAGCGTCCTAGATACAAGATCATCCCCCAGCAATCCCATTGGTCACTTCCCTCAAATTAAGCTTCCCCGCGAACTTCCATGCTGCCACGGCATTGTCCTCGTCAAGTCCAATGCTCTTGACGTAACGCAGACAGCTTCGGACATTGCGCAGATCGGCAATTTGCTTGCCGCCAAACAACGTGTTGGGACTACTTCCAGTTCAAAGAGTGAAAATTTAATTACTCCGCTGGAAAGCATTATTCGAGCACGGCCTAATTGAAAATAGTAAAGTGAAGCAGTTCGAGGGAATTCGAGAACAGTGGGAGAAGGTTGGGAAAAAGGCTTTCGCTGGGTGCTTGAAGTGGGGATACGGTATGACCTCTCCTCGACGGAAGCGGAAACAGAGAATTTTCGATCATGAAGTTGATGGGAAAGCTGGGGAGAATGGTCGCTTGGGTGTAGCTTCTTCTTCCTCCCCGCCCACGGATGTGGATGTTCAGTTAAGCTTGTATTGGAGGGAGATATTATCGTTGCTTTTGGTTTAAAAGTTTCTATGTTTTACGACTGGATTGATTGTCTTTCTCATTTCTAAACCACGAGGGAACAGGTTTGATGCGCAGTTGTGCGCGATTATGCTGGTAATATTATATATTATTTAATGATTCGTCCAAGTTCATGGCAAATGGGGTGGCTTGCCAATGCATGGTTGGCAATTTAAAAAGTGGGTGCATGACCAGAACTAGAGCCGAATAAATGGCATTCATCTATTTGAATGGAGGAACCCGCTAGCCAGCCTGTCACCGCACCCTTGGTATTTGCAGAAACAAACTCATATCACATAAGTTTCCGTGCAATTAAACCATAAGTAATACACAAATATTAAGGTATAAACCCGATTGCGAACTTTCGCACCCATCGCCAACCGTCAGCGGCGTGTACGGACAAAGAGTTAGTTGCCACTCTATCAAACCCCCCCTCCTTCCCTCCTCGCCCTAACATCCCGCATCAATGCCTTCGCCTCTTCGACTTCAACGCCATCCTGGCAAAGCTCCCCAGACAACAAATCAGCTCTGTTTAAATCACCATGCTTCAACGCCCAACGCGCCAGCCACAAGCGCGCCTTGCTCGTTGAAGCTGTGACTCCCGTGCCAATTGATTCCTCTTCAGCCTCTTCACCGATTTTGTGCGTGAATAACGACGTGCGTTGGGGATAAAGGCCCTCGAGATCTAATTCCAATTCATCGTTATCATCAGCTTCACCATCGTGAGCACCTGTCTGCCCCGTTTCTTGCTGGAGAGTAAGCTCCATGTAGGCGGCTGCTTCCTCTTCGTCGCCAAGGCGTTCGTAAAGCGTGGCGATTTGATGAAGTGTATCCGGATCAAGGATGCGTTTCGTGACCGGCGCATTGGCGCCATGTGCCTGGTGTGAAAATGGTCGTAAGCTTCCTGAGCCAACACTACTAAATGAACCCGGCGCGCCTGCAGAACCTACTTCGTAATAAGATCCCGCGACCAAAGCGCGCTTGAAAGCTCGAATGCTCTGCTCAGGACGACCCATTTTGGCATAACATGAAGCGACAGCTTGCCACATTTTGGGATCATAGGGGCGCAGAGCAGCAGCTCGATGATAGTAGAACAAGGCATAGAATGCCATGTCGAGGACCTCGTAGGCTTGCCCGAGGCCGTACCAGGCGCGATAATCCTTCCGGTTAACATCGACAGCTCGTCGATATGATTCAATAGCGGCATGGGTGTTTTTCATTTCGATGTATTCATGACCCATAAGGGTCCAGGCGGATAGAAAGTTGCGGTCCAACGTCAGGGCACGCCTGAAATACATGACTGCTTTTTCGTGTTCGGATTTGAGAGAGTAGTAATTACCTACTACGCAGCAGGTTTCCGGACGGAATTTATCAGTAGCCGTTGCTATTTGGGCTATGAAAGCGAGTTGAGGGCGGGCACCCATGACATAGAGGATGTTGGAGTAGTGGTCGAGGCTATCAAGGCGGTAAGGAGAAGTGATGAGGAGTTCAGAGAAATGATGAGATGCTTCCTCGAAATCTGTTGGAAGAGAGTAAGAAGTTAGGTGGTTAAACATGAATAGAGAGAAGGATTTGAGGGATGAAGAACCTTTTGAATGATAAAACAACAGAGCTCTTTGAGTCTTAAGAAATGCGCTAGTTGGAAATATGCTCTCGAGCTCGGTCAGCATATGGTGTGTATCTTCTGTAGTCTGGTAAAGTTCCTGGCTGCAGTGCAGATGAAATATAAGCGTCATTATGTTTTGGGGAAGTTGGTCAGAGATCCGTTTTAGCTGTAGTAGAACTTCAAGTTAGCATGGTGACGTAGCGGGGCATAGCGGGAAAAGGAGGCAATGGGCGTACCTCATCTGTGTTGGCGAGGAGGTCGTTTAATTCCTGCCAAGCACCCCAGTGAAAAGGATATAAATGCACACTTTTAATGAGCCACATTTTGGCTTCTTCCTCGTTTTTGCCTTTCAGCAGGATAACCCCATAGAGATATTCCAGCCAGCCTTGTCCCCGATCCTCCAAGCCCTTTGCTTTCCGGTGAGTAAACCATGCCTCTAAGCCCTGTGCCAAGCCAGAAAGCTCTCTATTCACGGTCATGCCTCCGTCTGCAGGACCCAAAACCATTTCCGTTCCCTCATCTTTCCGCTTCTCGCCTGCTAGATACTTAGCATAGAGAGCGAGGAAAAGGGACTTTTGGCTTAATCGCGGGAAATGATTCTGAGGAGCAGCGTTGGCACTCAATCCGCCGAAGGAAGAGGCTCTCCCCTTCCCTTTTTGAGGGCTGACTGGCGTCTTGGACTTTACATTAGCGGAGGTGGGGGCCAGCGGTATGGCGGAGGTGGAGGGAGGTAGGAACACGGCGGAACACCGGTCATACTCCCTAGTGTCGAAGTATGATTTGGCAAGAATATATTTGTGGGCTTCACGAGCTTCTAAAGCAGCTTCTTCAGGGTCTTGCATTTGCAGTAAAGGGTTGGGCGGCAGGGGGGGGGTGGTATCCATCGGAGAATCCAGGTCAGGATCTGCACCACCATCGGTATTTTCAAGCGGAACTAAGGAGTCCAGCATTTCCGCAGCCCTGGGGGAGGTAATGCAATGTGTCAGCAGGCGCGATTCCAGCCGTAGTCAGAGGAAGAGCATCTCGCATACCATTTGGCAGACTGGTAAAGACACCGTTCGGAGCATTTAATGGCCGCATCTTCAAGGCGGTACCGGAGTTCCCGCAGGCTGTCTCGATTTAAATTGGAGGCCATTGCAGAGTCGCCCTGCGCCCGTAATCATAGATTCCAATACACAAATGTCTCCATCGGCATTGTATGGTTGATTTTATGGTGATGACATCAGCGTATGACCGCGACTGGACTGTCCTGTTTTGCTGGACGCGACAAGGCGCAAACGGGTTCAACAGGGTTAGGTTGTTTTTCTTTTCTTTCGCTTCTCGGGGGGGGTGAAGAGAGGTCAGAACACATCCATAAGCATTCCACCATCCCACTCGTAAATCAGCCCAAATGCGAAAAATCCCCCTCCCTAATCAATCGCCCGGGTATCTGAGAATGTCCTTCCGGTCGTTATGTTGTTGTTGTTGTTGTTGTTGTTGTTGTTGTTATTATCTGGCTGTCTGTTGTCTGTAACCTGTCGAGCTATTGGGGGATTAGGTCCGCATCACGTGCCCAATCTGCAGGGTTAGCTAACTAAGTAGTGCAAACAATGCAATCAGTGCAAACAACCACCGAAGATTGACCGTTTGCACTTCGGCCAAATTTTAATAAAGTTCTTTTTGTCGAAGGAACAGGGAGAAATCCCCAAATTGGCCCCGTAACGGCTTTTAAATGCCAGCCGTTAACCATCGAAGCTAGACTTCTTGTTCTTTCTTCTGTTTCGCAGTCGCCGTACGATACGCATTCGACGGAGAAAATATACAGTTTAATCATTCACAGCGTTCCAATGGCGTCTCGAACTGCTCGTGCAGACTTCGAGGCTATTTTCCCGTCGCTGGTCCAGGACCTCAGCGACAATGTGAATCAGTACGGGATACCTTCAAATGCCCTTAAATGGTTCCAAACCGTTCGTACTTTTCTCTTTCTCCTGTTTCATTAACCAATCTGTCCCCTACCCATTAACTATGTTTTTGCCAAATCAGTCCCTGAATGCAAATACCCCCGGCGGAAAGCTAAATCGCGGACTTTCTGTCCCTGATTCTGGTCTCGCGCTGCTCGGAAAGCTTAGCGATGAACAATTCAAGCATCTCTGCACCCTGGGCTGGCTAACAGAGCTCCTCCAAGCCTTCTTCCTTGTTTCCGACGACATGATGGACGGCTCCCACACGCGTCGCGGCGAGCCATGCTGGCATCGCCGTCCAGGCGTTAACCTGATCGCCATCAACGACTCCTTCATGCTGGAATCCAGTATCTACGTTATTCTCAAGAAGCACTTTCGTTTCCACCCAGCATACGTCGACTTCCTGGAGCTATTTCACGAGGTCAGTTTCCAGACTGAGCTGGGCCAGCTCTGCGATCTTCTCACCGCTCCAGAAGACAACGTCAACCTGGACAACTTCAATATGGACAAGTTCAACTTCATCGTCATCTACAAGACCGCATACTATAGCTTCTACCTCCCAGTTGCGCTTGCTCTTCACTATCTCCAGCTCGCAACACCAGGCAACCTGCGCCAGGCGCATGACATCCTTATCCCGCTTGGCCAGTACTTCCAGGCACAGGACGACTTCCTGGACGTGTTCGGCAAGCCAGAGCAGATTGGCAAAATTGGCACTGATATTCAGGATAACAAGTGCTCGTGGGTAATCAACCAGGCTCTGAAGCGGTGTTCCCCGGAACAGCGCAAGGTGCTCGATGAATCGTATGGTCGAAAGGACGCCACCCTGGAGGCGAAGGTAAAAGCTGTTTTCAGCGAGCTTGATTTAGAGAAAGTCTATCGTGACTTTGAGGAGGATCAGGTGAGGAAGATCCGAGGCATGATCGAGGGGCTTGACGAATCGGAGGGCTTGAAGAAGGGAGTCTTCGAATCGTTTCTGGCTAAGATCTATAAGCGCGACAAATAGATGGCTGGTTACAGTTAAATGCTCTTTCCTTGTATTATTTCTTTCACAATTCTCCCAGTCCGTGTTTTGACTTTCTATTGTTGTGAAGACATTGTCCATTTCCACAAAGGGGACGGGAGACAAAACAAGGTACAAAGGCTTTCATACTTCTTTTTGACATTTTGATGATACTCAAATAATAGTTGCTCTAGTGTCCCAAATGTGTGTCTGTACTGTACTGTACATGCATCCATTCATCAGCTTTGTTAGTTGTGGGGTTCTGAATAATACATTAGTCTACCCTTTTGATGGCGTTTTATTCACACTGATGAGAAAAATGATAGTTAACTGATGTAAGGCTTGGTTGAGCTAATCGAACAATATTGCCTTTATCGGCCTGGATGAAATGCTCAAAAGCACAAACAATACTTCTGCAGCTCCAAGCAGTCAAATAATAAATAAACACAATGTACTTCTTCAGCTCCAGCAGTCAAATAATAAATAAACACAAAATGTAATTTCCACCTCCGGGATAAAATGAAAAATAAATGAAGAAAATTCCCTCCTCTCACACAACACAACCCATGTGAGCCAGTGCGATGGCGACAGTGATGGTGATGTGTAGGTCACTTCTGGTTCCTGAAACAAGATCATCCCAACCTGATAACTCGCTCAGAAACAGCTACCTGTTTACGAGGAGGGTTACTTCGTATCGGCCTAGACACGGCCTGAGTATGTAGCTACCCAGGTGCCGAACGCTGTAAAGGCGTAAGCTGACAACCAAATAGCTACTGATATCATTATCAATCTGGTTCCGGCAAACCGATTTGGTTTCCCATTTAAAAACTCCTGGAACAGACAAACTTTACCCAAGGCAGACGTGAAGTCCATTCTTGTTTGCATTTTGGGTTGGGGATCCGTTGAACTAATGCAGGAACAGTGTGACAGTCGTATCACTGTTGTGAAACTTCATGCCGAGATGGATCAAGGAAGATGCAACATTTCTCAGACCTGGCAATAAGGGAAGGGGGGGGGGGGGGGGTTCCAGGTGTTTAACTAACATACTCACTTTCTCCCTCCTGAATCGAGGATGATACTCAGAGCGAGCTATTGACAAATAATGTATCTCACAGATCAACGAACGTTACAAATTGAAGGTATTTAACAAGTATCCCAGCAACCATACCATGTTAAAGAGATATTATATGTTATTTAAAGTTCTAATATAGCCAATAGTATAAAAGGTTTCATTATAAAATATTCATTACTTGTTAAAATATAATGTTACATGATAATTTTCTCAACAAATTCCACATATAAATTAATATGCATGTTAATAAATTATTTCAGCTGTAAATTTTTTCATATATTAGTTCTATAAATAATATATTTAAAAAGAATACAGAAGTAAAAAAAGTTATTTAGAATTATTTTTATTTTTATAAAGAAAATAATAATTATAAATAAAACTTTTACATACTATTAGATATACTCCAATTATTAGTTACTAAGAATATTATATATATATATATATATATATATATATTGTATTTTGAAAAGATAAATTTATTTGAAAATAGCAAGCAGTGTGAAAACAGAGTGTTGTGCAGTAGAGTTTAATAAACTATCATCTACATTAGCAGTTAGTATAAGAGCAGAATTGTATGAGGCAGTCTGAATAGAGTAGAAAACATCTTACTCGCATGAGCAGCAAAGAATGGACTATCTATAGTAGTTTCTATGTTGCTACGGATACAGACGGGGAAAACCACTCTTGGGGAATGGGATTTAGAAATGGGGATTTGGCATCATTGTGACAAATGAGAAGCATCGGAGTGGGAGATAATGACGATTCTGACGATGTTGCTCTGCTGGATCGGAGAGAGAAGAGGCGGGATTGGATCGTGGGCAGAGGAAAAGTTCAGCAGCTCGGAGCATAGTTATGCTACGGCAGGATTTACCGCTTGACGCATGGGTAAACATTCACTGGACAGAAAGAAAGCATGGACAAGTGGCAAACAACAATGAACATTTGTTGTTTACTTTTTTGCATGGTCATTTCCTTAACTCTCGTACAAATAATAATCAAGGGAGGTGAGGTCTCGGCACAACAACAACAACAGGTCTTTCTGTGAGAATTCTGAAGTTCAGAACAATAGTGGATGTTGTTATAGAGGATAGCCAACCCTGCGCGAGTGGGGCTGGATGCGGGAGGTCGACATCTTACCACGGTAAGCGCTTTTAGTGGCCAAAATTTTAATTTTGAGGTTATACCCGACATCAATAGACACTATTGTTCGTAGATATTTATTGGTAAAAATATCTTGCCAAATGCTTTTGGTGAAATTATCCAGTAGTACCAATAAAGGACACTGTGGCCTTCGCTTATCATGCGCCCTGAATAGGTAGATACAGTTCATTACTTTTCCAAAGCAAAGTATCCCCAAGAAAAGACAAAATATAACCAGATAAAGATAGCTTGCAAATTTCAAAGGCAAAAGTTTCGAAACTATTATTAGCCCGCTATTAACGAGGCAAAACCGCCCGTAAATTTCATGGATATTGCAAATCAAGAAGGTTAGCTCCGAACGCATAAAACTTTTCACCTTGGCCCCCATTCAAGCTGCGGGACGAATAATGCAAATAACAAAGCGATTCAACAAAAAATTTTAGTCCTACCTCTCATACATTATTGGTATGATGTTGATTGCACAAGGCATGTAAATTCTCCGACCCCCCAACCCGGCGAAGCGGGGGTAGTTCTTCACTCAACCCATCAATCCAGGCGGCTGTACGGCATTGTTTATCCGACTGCCACTTGGACGACGAAGATGTAGCTCCCATAGTATCAAATTTGATGTGACACACACAGCCGATGCGCTGGCCATATGGTGGTGAGCTCTGCGGTTGCGTGGAGCGTTTGGAGGAACGCGTCAGCTGGTGCAAGTCGGTCGGTCCAGCGTTGACTGTGGAAACTGCTGAGCAGCCGGCGTGAGTGGTGGGAATGGAATGCTTGGGTGACGCTGTGGTAGCTCTGCAACCGTTTCCTAAAAGCCTAGCAGGGTGGAGTGAGGACGGTTTGGCTGAGTTCATTCCTTTAGCGGTAGATTTAGGAAATGCGGGAGGAGGAAAAATGGCACCTGATGGTTGATTGATGGAGATCCGTCCTCGGAGCTTGCGAGCGATGTGAAGGGAAGGGAAGCGAAATGCACGACGGCGAGGCCGCGAAACGCGCCGTGAGATCTGTCGATTCTGTGGTTTACACAAGGTATAGACTTTATGGCCCTTTGAACGGTCCAAACGGACCAAAGCCCGACAGAAGCGCTTTAGTTTGGAAGATATGCTCTCTCTCTGTGGGAGTACGAGCGATGTAGTGGAGACAGTAGAAAACTCAGCTGATTTAATGTAGACATCGGACGAGTAAGCTGACTTGTAATATTCTGGTTCAGGGGACCGAAGGCGTTCATATCCCTTCCCACGGAAGAGCGATTTCCATGAGCATCTATTTATCCAATCAGAAACCCGATGCTTTCCCTTGATATTCGAGAATACTCTCATAATGACGTTAGGCTATGGCAAAGAAAAGTTCATACCACACGGGTGTGTGAAATGGCATTGGATTCTTTCCAAGGAATGAGAAGAGAGCTTCGCAGATAGAAAATCTGAAGATACACCAGAAGAAGTGGGGGAAATGTTAGCGGGAGTATAGAAAATTTATGTATCACAGACAAAAAAAAGAGTTTTATGTTGTCGAGTCTAGAATCGATAACAATGCCATAAACAAGAAGACAAGCAGGCCTTATTAGGTCTCCAATGGCCATGAACGAGGGGGTCAACCCGAATGACGACATAATACCGTATAGAGCGGATTCCCCGGGCGTCTTCTAAACTTCAAAAGGACGTGTATTAACTTCATCGCAGAAGAGAATGGTTTCCGATTGGTTGTCGTAGATTCAACGTTAAAGTTTGACGTGCGGCCGTTGGAACGGTGAAAACCATTCCGCGGTTTCGCTAATATAAGGTTCCCATCTAAAGGGGACAGATCTAGATAAAATCAAAATTATGTCAGGAGGTAAACAGAACTGGAATTGATACGCGTGTTACTATCAGTATTTGGCACGGAAGGGCACAGGCCTTGACAGTGAAACTCACGGTGAGTCCAGTGCGTACATTTCAACCAAGATAAAAATTGGGAGCGTGCATTGTTTTCACGAGAATGATTGGGGGCAGGGTAGCACAATACTTCTGACGAGAAACAACAGACCAGACGTTAAGTTATCGAATGATGATGATGATGATGATGAATCCCTTAGGGATAAGCCGTTCGAGGTGGTTGGGTGTGGGGTGTTGCTGTAGTGACGCCGACCGCACGTAACCTCGTGGTAAAAACAATGCAAGGGTGGCACGGATCCCGACAGGGATGGGACACAAGCGCGATTTAAGCGCGCAAACACACATTCATATTGGATCTAAAAATAATCGTTTGATACTTCTGGCGTCTCTCTTTCTAATGAGATGCAAATGAAGCCAGTTGAGAAGAGATAAAAGCCTAAAAATAAATCGGCGGCGGGAACCCGGTGAATAAGACGCGTTTCCGCCAGTTCAGAGGTTATTCAATAGGTTCAAGCGAGGAGAAAAATCACAGTGAATCGACCGATATTTCCACCCCTAATTCCAGAAGAATTGGATCCAGAAACGATCGTTGGGCGGTGCTGCTGCTTGGGCTGGCCAAATGGAGAGAGAATGGGATCGAACGTACGCCGTCGAATTCACAGAAGAAAGTATTAGATACAAAGGCTACTCCTACAGAGGGTACATGTGGATTATGTCGATGAGTTCTCGAGATCCCGGCCTCAAACCATAACCAAATTAATGAGAAAGATTCAGAGAATATATTCGATTATTTGGGAGGCTGTAAAAGCTCGCAGTGGGACCTGGCGGCCTCATTGCTACGAAACTCTGCCCCGAAGGGTTGGTTTCGTCACCCACTGCTGGTACCTATTCTTTGACACCTATATGGGGCTCTCGTGGTATGCTGCCGTGTGCATCGGAGGTAGTGGGTACCTGCAAGCCGGGCTTATACCGTGTGCACGAGTTAACCATTAGACCAGGCAGGGCAGGGAGCTTGTGGAGTGTACCCATTTAACCCCTTAACCGGCTTATATACCCCCCAAAATCGAAGAAAACACCTGCTCTCTCGCGCACCACGGCCTAAAGCGAAGCAAAAAATTTTGCTATTATGTAGTCCACACCCCCAAGAATATCGGTGTCATCAAAGGGAATGCCAAAGGTCGTAATCGGGGTGTGTTCGGGGAGATTTGTACCGAGAGACACCATGGAGCTCGAGTTCTTGTCACGTGCTAAGTAGCAGTCGCAAGTATAGAGCTCATGTGCCTTCCACACATACACCTCTGAGCGATCAAATCGTACAGCATACAATGCTGAAAAGGGGGAACATATCAATTCAGCTGATGAAGTTCAGGAAAAAGGTTAGTGTTGCGGTAGAGAGCATGGCTACTACTGCAAACGAATGTGAAGGGTGAATATAAAATATTCGATGAACCAGTGAATGCCCTAATATGAAAAATCAATCAAACGTATGCCTTGTTGCCTCTTGCGGCGGAGGAAACGTTGGAAAAAATCTCTGGTCCAGCGACGCGAATGACAAAGCCGAGTCCATTCGCATGGGGCAATTTCAATGGCGACTGTCGGACTCAAGACAGCTGAGAACAATGTTCTGCTCCTCTGGGGGGTCTCTGGGGGCATTTACGGGAGCGCTTTCAGTAGCTTCTCTGCATCTATTCCAGGCTTAGTTGCAATACAGCATGACTGTTGCTGGCACTGAAGAAACATGTCCCACCAAAGGGCTGCAAGGAAAAATAACGCATTAAACGGTACCAACAACAAAAGCAGACCGGTAGAGCCAGAGGGTTGGATGAAGAAGGAGAGAAAAGAGAAGCGAAGAGATGGAACGTCGTCAAAGTAAAGATCGTTGGAAAATCCCAAGCGATGATCGCATCCAGATCGAGTGATGCCAAGCGCAACTAGTTCCAAGGTTGCGGGCTTCTTGTTTAAGGGTTATCAAGACGAGTTTAATACTTTGTCCGTCCAACCAACCCAAGGTTCGCGTGGCAGACCCACCGTCAACTTCGACTGGGGAAGACATCGTTGGAACTTAAACTTAGGTTCAACCAACAAAGAAATATCTGTATATTAGATTTCCATGGTTGGAAGTCGAAAAACGACAAGATTTCGGCATGTTTCTACCCTCAACGTCTGGGTTCTTATTTCCCGGATAACCGGCCCTAGGACAGGTGGATTACGGCCTGTCAAGTGACTATTGTGGTAAACTACTCCATATAAAACATGTAAGACGGTATAAACTGAATGGTCACTTGTTATTCCCCCACATTCAAATCATGGTAGCAATTAGCCTTACAAAATGCGGTTCAAGTAAAAAAAAAAAAAAAAAAAAGTCAATTTACTAGCAAGCTAGTTAAATCAAGTGCTCTTATGCTTAAATGTTCTCGTGGAAATCACTGGCGTCCCTGAAACACTTGAGTAAAATATGTAAATCTATATTCAGAACTTGTTGGGAAGCAGATCACGGAAGCAGTTGTGTATCATTATGAGAGCTGCGTTTCTACGCGATGGTTATGTTGTGGTTGGTTGGCTACCGTGCTTGGAGACGGCGGACGGCCCGCAGGGAGGAACTCCGAAAGAGTTTTCAGTCTGGAAGCTCAGTGGTCTGAGTGGAAAGTTTTCTTTTTCTCTTATTTTTTACCTTCACTTTTAACCTGAATCACCCACGGTTTCGATTTTTGTCTATGTCAATGGCTATTTATTTAATTCAGAGATAAAAAGCCAGTCTTGGCGATAATTGCCGACGGAAAGGTGTCTAGAGTATATTTCTTTGAAACAAAAAGTATGGGCTATGTACTATTTATATTTTTCTATTGATGTTAGACCTGAGTTCAAGCTACTGGAGAAGAAGCCTCCGCTTAAATCCGCCTTCAGGGAGACATAACTCGAATGATATGAAGAACTTCGAACTCCAAAAAGTGGGTTGGTAATAACAGGGAAATATATTGTAAATTTATGAAGATTCCTCTTTACGCAGCAAGATAGGCAGTGGGCTGGGAAATGGATTGGGTATATATATACATTCTTCTTCAACAGGCCCTAGTCACTCGAGACTCCACACCCGGTACCAATATGGTTTATTGCCCGAAACACACCTAGAACCGATTCGCCCACTTTCGGCCCACAGGGTAAACACTGAAATTTTGGACCGCTGACTGTAATATATAACTTAATGCATATTTCTTCCATATATTGTTCACAACTTGTGTGAAGGGGTGCAAACTCATTCAATGTCAAGCATTATTCTCTTCTTCTTTTCAACATTGTTCAACGACCAACAATTATGGAATCATTGCTGGCATCTTCGATGGTCGCCATGTCGTCATATATAGACTCGACCGTTTGAGTTGTCAAAATCGCATGAACCTGATTGCGGAGGAAAAAATGGCCAATGACCAGCTGAGCCGGGAGCAGGCATGACATCATTCTCCATCTTCGACCCCCCCCCCCCCCCAGTCAACCTGTTCTGGATGCTACGAGCGACGGCTTTGATTCGTCCCCGGCACAGGTACAAGCACCTCTGGGTCACCAATCCGGTCACTTCAGCGATCTCTGATTCAAGACCGCAATTGACCACAAAGACGAGATTGGCTGCAATATGAGGAAATCAGACGATTCGGGATCGATCGGTGGCAGTCTTTTGGAACGGTCTTAGGACGTTTGACAGTGTGTGAAAATTGCGCTCTGCAGGTGGGTGGCTTATAGTGTTATTTTTTCCTATATTTTCAATGTGCTGCGATTGCTCCCGGGAACTCTCGTGAAAATGTTCGATAGGAGGATTCCGTGCAACCTGCAAAAGTGATCCCTGGGATGGTCTGGTACTGCTGATAATAATGACGCGCTGCAGGAAATCCCACCCTCTCTATGCACATCCTCATTAGACCAATGTAGAACGACATAATTTATAAAATTGTGCGCACTGTAGAATCGAGATACAGCAACAGACAAAGGTCTCTTGATGCCACTGACGGCTAGTTTGTTGTGCTGTCGAGCCATCTTTTAAGTATAAATTTATCACCCGGTGCGGAGTACTCCGTAGTAGTTAGTGGATTGTTGATTTATTGTCGCCGCCACTTGACAAGGATTTTTATGGGCTTTCCGGGGGATGATGGAAGGGGAAGGGCAAAAATGTCGGTGCTTTCTTTAGCTGAGATGGGGCATTCCCAAGGTTGTCCTGCCTGAGACATCTTGTTTAGCAGACCAATTAGCCTATCTCCAACAAGGATGTCAGTCAATCATTGTGCTTTTGCAGTCCAAATGTTTCATGGAGGAGGAGGAGGAGGAGGAGGAGGAGGAGGAGGATGAACGGTTAATTTACCTACCATCAACGCGGTCGGTAACTATGTTGAATACTCTAATTTAGCTCAAGAAAATTATCATTTTTTGAGTAACTACTTTGGCAACCACCGCGAAATCCTCCACAGCTTCACACGAGCTTTTCTTTCAACTCTCTGTCTGTAGATAGTTATCGTTAGCAGGCTTTAGTATGTTTCTGGTTGTGCTGTGAGTGGTTGGGTGCGCCTTTTGGTTGATGGGCACTCGACTTGGCCCAGCACTTAAACCTCAGCATCTTCCCCTCGCCCAGCTCCAAGTTCCGTTCAGCCTATTCGGTCCCGTTTCCTTGTCCCTCGCATTTTAAAAATATAATTCTGTACCTGCAAAGCTTTGAGCGTATTTTCAGTTCTTTGATATTCTTCTAATCTCCCGTCAATTAAACCCCCTGCAACCTCCCCTCCAAAGTCGCCCCGAGCCGCATTTGTGCCCAGCACACGCACACCAGTCGCAATATATATATATATATATATATATATATATACATATATACCCCCGTTGTCCAGCTCGATTTTGATTTGCCTTGTTGCGATTTGTTGTGCGATATATTTGCCGCTACTACCTCATTTTCAAACTCATCGTATTTTCCTTTTCACCACTCCCCGTTCGACATTGCATGTGTTGGGAGCCAACGTCGACCAACATGAGTAGCCCGCATACTCCAAAACGAGATATCAAGAACCACGTTCTATTTGAAATTGCAACCGAAGTTGCAAACCGGGGTTTGTAATTTCTTTTGCTTGGTTTGACCTGGCGTTCAAAATGGGATGTTTGACTGACCGTATTGCCTATAGTTGGTGGAATATACTCTGTCCTGAAGTCCAAGGCGCCGGTTACGACAGCAGAGTATGGCGAAAGATACACACTCATCGGCCCTCTGAATCGCTCATCGGTATCTACATGTTATTTTCTTGCTAGAATCCCCGCTTCACTCCCGTATCTCTATTTTGTCTCTATAAAGGGGAACCATTGACATATCATTAGGTCGAGGTCGAAGTCGAGGAACTTACCCCAACCGATCCTCATATTGCCGCCACAATTGCCTCTATGAAAGAACGGGGAGTTGATATGATCTATGGGCGGTGGCTTATCGAGGGAGCGCCGAGAGTAGTCCTAATTGACACGGGTGCGGGATACAAATACCTGGACGAGTGGAAGGGTGATCTTTGGAATGCGGCCGGAATCCCGTCTCCTGCGGAGGATAGTGAGTCGAATGAAGCTATCGTTTTTGGCTATTTAGTAGCTTGGTTCCTTGGTGAGGTGAGTCAAGCGACCAGCAGCGCCCAAATTACCCATTGAGCCGCAGCCAAGTAGTGTTTGTTTGCGTTCTGCTAACGGATGTCAAAGTATATCTCCAGAGATAGAACTCGAGCTGTTGTCGCGCATTTCCACGAGTGGCTAGCCGGTATTGCCCTTCCCTTAACCAAGAAGCGGCATATGGACGTCACAACCATTTTCACGACCCATGCAACACTCCTAGGTAGATATCTGTGCGCCGGATCTGTCGATTTTTATAACAACCTACAATACTTCGACGTTGACGCTGAAGCCGGGAAAAGAGGGATCTACCATCGATACTGCATTGAACGCGCTGCTGCGCATTCGGCAGATGTGTTCACAACGGTGTCACACATCACAGCGTTCGAGAGCGAGCATCTTCTGAAACGGAAGCCCGATGGTGTTTTGCCCAACGGACTTAACGTGAAGAAGTTTGCTGCAGTTCACGAGTTCCAAAATCTTCATTCCCATGCCAAAGACAAGATCAATGACTTTGTCCGTGGTCATTTCTATGGACACAACGACTTTGATCTCGATAATACTCTATACTTCTTCATTGCAGGTCGTTATGAGTATCGGAACAAGGGGGTGGATATGTTTATCGAATCTCTCGCGAGACTGAATCATCAACTCAAAACATCTGGCTTAACTACTACTGTAGTCGCATTCATTATCATGCCCGCACAGACATCGTCGCTCACAGTTGAGGCCCTCAAAGGCCAAGCCGTTGTGAAATCTCTTCGCGACACACTAGAAATGGTTGAGCAGGGAATTGGGAAGCGGCTATTCGAGCGTTGTTTGAGTTGGAAGGAAGGAGACAATATGCCCGATGAAAAGGATTTAATCACAAACCAGGACCGTGTACTCCTGCGCCGTCGACTCTTCGCAATGAAGCGGCATCAGCTTCCACCCATCGTGACACATAACATGATAAATGACGCAGAAGACCCAGTGCTGAACCAGCTGCGCCGTGTCCAACTCTTCAACCACCCGTCCGATCGTGTCAAGGTGGTTTTCCACCCGGAATTTCTCAATTCGTCAAACCCAGTTTTGCCCCTCGATTACGACGATTTTGTCCGCGGGACAAATCTAGGCGTTTTCCCATCCTACTATGAGCCGTGGGGGTACACCCCTGCGGAGTGCACGGTTATGGGGATACCCAGCATAACCACTAACCTCTCCGGATTCGGATGCTACATGGAGGAACTCATAGAAAACTCGTCGGATTACGGAATATACATTGTCGACCGGCGCATGAAGGGTGTGGATGAATCCGTGAACCAGCTGACGAACTTTATGTTTGAATTTGCGTGCAAAAGCCGACGGCAACGTATCAATCAGCGCAATCGGACGGAGCGGCTAAGTGATTTGCTCGACTGGAAGAGGATGGGCATGGAGTATGTCAAAGCGCGGCAGCTGGCGCTCCGAAGAGGTACGCACACACCTGCACTTTCATAGCCGACTCTACCGAAAATTATCATCGTAACTAAACCCGTTAACCATCCAGCGTATCCGTCCTCCTTTGACCCCGCGGAGGACTTCAGCGATATCATTGGAGGAACCGAGCAGAAGATATCCCGCCCGTTCTCTGTACCCGGTTCTCCTCGCGATCGAACGGGAATGATGACCCCTGGTGACTTTGGGTCGTTGCAGGAGGGTCGCGAGGGTCTGAGTACGGAAGATTATATTGCCTGGAAGCTACCGTGAGTTTCATGACATCCTCCTATCTTTTTCTTTTGTGGCCGCTTTTCGAAATTTTGTGCCACTGACGAGAACCTTTTGCGAATTCGCAGTGAGGAGGAAGATGCGGACGAATATCCGTTCCCACTTACGTTGCGAAAGAAAGCTACTACGGTTATCCCTCCGCACTCCCCAGAGAGAGAGGTAACGGCCAACGGTGACGTGTAGAGCGAATTGAGATCATTCGATGAAGGAGAGATCATGAAGAAGCCGGCTGTGTGCTTTCTTATTCTGAAGTTGCTTTTAAATTTAGGTTTGCAATTGATCTTGGATGGATTTCGGGGCTGGGTGGTTTTAGATGAACTGCCGGTTTCTTCTTCTTCTTCTTCTTCTTATTTTTAATTTATTTTATTTGTTGCGTCTTCGTTCTTCATTTTCAGTATAGATTATAAATATTCTTACAGTATGTATATGCATATAATATAATATATAGTTATTTGCTCAATTGATGAACTGCAGAAGACTTTGGTGGCGTCTCTCTTATTCCTGCGGCCTGTGGATTTTGTCCAGCATTGATTTCCTAGTATGTTGCTGTCTGATAGCTTACTTGTTTCCTATAGCACCACATAGTTCGTAAGGATTTCCCGGCTGTAGTTTTATGAGAAGTGCAAATACTTCCAAAGGACTTTCGAGAAAAGGGTGATGTTGTCAATTAAGGGGCAACAAAAGGGGCTTAACAATGTGATCCCTCCCCCCAGCAACTTGAAATCGTGGACCATCCCCGCCAGTGCCCAATAATTTAAAGATAAAAAACAGTGGACCCCGCTGTTGGACCTGACTGCATCGGGCCTCCGAAGCTCTCACCGTCACGTTATGCACTCTACATTGGAGCCTAGAACTGAGATTTGAGAAGTCGAAACTTATTGACGTGAAAATTGTCTGCAATTATTTAGCACACTAAGCAGTTCGTGGGCTTCACCCTAGCAACCTCCAGGTCATTGCGGGAATACGGAGTAGAATCCATCGGTATGGACCCCATCCATGGAGTTAACCGCATCCACACAAATCTATCTGCCGGCCCGCTACACGCGGTATACATTATCAAGGCGCAAAGTTCTGATCAATTTTTCGCCCTGTTTCTCCGGCCGTGAGGCGGCTCTGGCTCTTGTAGTCCTGTAGCAGAAGTCGTGCCGCCGGCAGCTTGGGAGGAAATCGACGCCCCATTGTCTGTCCGGGGCATTGGTCCACCCGTTGGAACTCCAGTCGAGATATGGGGGGTGGAGGGTTGAGGGTGTTCCAAGCTTTTTGGAATTTATCCATGGTGGCGTCGACGAGGAACCCAATCAGTCGTTCCGGGGTTTCTTTGGGGGTAGAGAATGTTAGCACTCCCTGTGTTGCAGAACAATGCGAAAAGGAGATGTGGACTTCATCTTTGCCATGCCTTTTGTGATTTCTGATATCAAGAGGATCATATGTGAAAAAGCTTTTTTTAAGGATAACTATACTTTCTCAAACAGTGCTTCGTTTTCTACTTGATTAAATTCTTAAATTCTTGATGGGCCTGTCGTCTCCTTATATGTCAACTCCATTAATTTAACTACACCCATGTCTCCGGTGTTCAAAACAAATGTATAGAATATTTTAACCTAAACAAACTTTACTTTGATTAAATTATTATAACTACTTCACCTTCATAGAGTGAAGGAAGATAGCGACGATAAGATGAACAGGCAGGAAATGGGGTGGCTGCCGTAGCTGTATATACCAGAGTGATGGAGGAGGTGCTCAATCGCATGTTAAACTCTGAACCATGAAAATAATCTGGATTTTCACAATGGCGTTGCGTATCCCACCCCAGCAGAGAGCAGGCCTTGTATGATTAAGATATATGATAGTGCTATACATGGGTCGATAGGTATAAAGGTAATTAATCGTTGGGATTCCACGGGTAGAAGATAGAAGGAGACCATTAAAAAAAGGTATATGTGATAAGCAGAAATAAACGTCGGAAAGGCAAGGGTCAACACCGCCAAAAGGGCTCGCGGAACAACAAAACAGTATGCCAGATTGGAAATCCTGCACATCTCTCCCCAGGACTCGTCCGAAAAGGTAGTCTAAAATGCCATGCGCTAAATAAGGGATTAATTACCAAGGGGTAGTCACTCAACTTCAAAAAGGAAATTTCAACATAAAGGTATTCACCCCTCGGCCCTTATAACCTCCCTCCTCCGCCCAATGAATAAAAATCAGAAAACTCTGAGCCGGATTCTGGCCGAACAGCAACTAGTGTAAAGAGTTGAAGAAGTATAAGTAACCCGATACGGTTGACTCTGCCATGGCTGGTTAAACCCTCTCACGACTCCTGGTCCGGAATTGGTGCTCCATTTTTATCCCCTTGTTGAGGGGAAGATTCCGCGGGCTGAGCCTCTGCTGGTGGCAGTGGTGAATCGGGCTTGGGCGGTGACGTGACGGACTTGGACTTGACTACTTCGACAAGGTGGTCGCCTAGATCACCGGAACCATCGATTTTATCAATCTTAGCTTTGAAATACTCGACGTCGGAAACCATTCTAGATATTCGTTATTAGCTTGGGAGTTCATGCGATGAATAAAAAACAGACGGGGAAATCGCGAAAGAACCAGACTTACCGTTGTTTACCGCTCTCAGTTTTCAAAGTAGCTGCCTGGAACGCCTTTGTCCACTGATCTCTGTAACTTTTGAAAACAGGGTCCATGATCATCATCACGGTCATTTCAGGTAGATGCTTTGTCAGGACTCGCTGGAGGGTGCCAGTCTCTTTCGTCAATGTCTTCATGTACTGGCTGACGGAAGCAGTGTCCTGCTGTGCATCCCAATCAATCTTCTTCATCGCATTGACGTGAATCGTGGCGCGGGAGCTCATGATATCAACTAACTTTTCATGGATGCCTGACTGGTGTTCCTGACACAGTCGCTTAACTTTATCAAACTCAGCCATCAGGGTGGTGGTAGAGGTATAATGCCTGCGGATGAATTCACGAACATGAGGAATAAGCGCAATGATAAAACTTAAAGCCTGGGAAGCAAGAGCCAAGTGTTTCGTTGTGATATTCTTCAAACCGGCACTTCTCGTGGCACCAGCGCCAAGGATAAGTTGGGAGGAGCGGGAGTTGAATAGCTTGAGGCATTCGAGGAAATTAAATGCTATGTCCTGCACCATGCTCGGGATGCCCGTCATTAGATGTTGGAATTCGTCAATAATTTCCAAAATCAGAAGAGCAGATTGTGGCAGAATATATTTCTGTTCATCCACTATTGCGCTTCGAACTTTATCTTTCCCACTGTCGGTTACTCCGTTTCCATTTACTTCAGGACTATCTAGAGTCGCCGTTGTTTCCTGGCCGCTATGATCTGACTCCCATACCCTTGAGGTTGAAGCCCACAGATCGATGTCTTGCGTACTTGCTTGGAGTATTCGTGAAAGAAGGGCATTCTGCTCGTCACCAAAGTCTTTGGCATCCCACCTATCTGAATCCATCACTTGAACTAGCCGATGTTTCCTGCTATCACCAAAATTGGAAATGAAGTCCCGTATTTGGCTATCAACGACATTTTTCAAAGCCGAACCGCTCCGTCCAGAGATAGCTTCGCACTCATCAGCAAAAAGTTTGTTCAAGCTGAAATATTTCAAAAACTGCTCCAGCGAGAGATGAGAGGTCTGCTCTGACCGAATTTTCAATATTTTGACCATTTGTGACTGCACTATGTCAACAGCTTGGCCGAGAAGGCTTGACATATCAAGTATCTCCATTATTTCTTCCTGTGCTACCACTGGCGTCGTTCCGGACCGGGCATATGCGTCTATAGAATGTAGGTTTGGGCTTTGTAAAGGGGATCTCACCCCGCTAGTATTAGGAGGACTGCTAAGTCCACTAGTAATATCCAAAAGTACTTTGACCTGTATGCTTAATCTTCGTAAGAATTCGCTAACGCCGGTGTAAATTTTTGTTAACATGGCGTATGCATCTTCGGGGTCAAGAGCACGGAGGTTGCGCGCTAGGATTGTTGACTTCTCCTGTTGGTTCAACTGGCGATCCCCATGGGTCGATGCGGACATTATCGACTCATTGTCGTCATCGCTTGAACTGGGCAGATGTCTTCGTATCGAACTTTTCATTTCTCGCAAGACGGAGTTTTTGTACGAGGTTGCAGCGGGTGTAGTGTATCTCGCTCGACCAAGCCCAACCAACTCTGTTTTTAACCTCGATCTAAATTCATTATCGATCGTCATATAAGTCGGTAGGCTAGAGGGGGCTTTCCTATGCATCCTTCGTGATCGATGAAATGCATCTCCCAGCCGTAGCAATGTGAGTTCCGGGGGAAGACTCTCAACATGCCGTCTGAGGTCTCCAATTAAGCAATCCAGGAACCGTTGCTCATAACCAATCCCAATCCGACATCTTAGTTTGCCCAGATCGTCTGATGCACCTTCTAAAGCTTTGATTCCACGTAGATCTATGAGCGTCTCCGGAAGTTGAGACTGGCCACCGCGATCCTCACGTTTCGTGGCGATCCGTTCGCCCGCTGTAAGTCTTTCAACATGATCCAGTTCATCCAGGGCATTTTCGATATCACCATTTTCGGCCATTTGTTCGCAGTGAGATACACATGCTATTATTTCCTTGAGTTGGCAAACAGCGTCTGCTAATTTTCTAACGTTTTCTCGCCGGCGCTGGAGATTTACCACCTTGAGACCACCCAAAGCCAAGTCATTATCAAGTTTTGCTAAATCCCTTCGCAGGGCTTGAATTTTGTCAACTGAAGCTTTTGCTTCTCCATGGAGAGCTTGCAGAGAACCGAGAGCTGTGAAGAATGAGGTTGAGGCGTTAGAAATGGAGGAAATAAGGTGAATTTCCACGGTATCAAGATACCATGATAATTTTTCTTGCAGAATCGCATTTGTTGCCAAAGCCTTTCTATTGAATGCCGGTCTTGCTTCAAACGACCCATTAGGAGCATTCTCATCTGAAGGTTTTGGGAGAGAGCGGACAACTTCCGATCGTTCAGAAACGACATCAAATGTCCGAGGGTTTTCAAGGTGGAAATTCTCATCGAAATAAACGTTAGGAATAGTTGACAGAGGGGCCATTGCTGGACCTCGGCCTCTCTGACCAGAGGATCTTCTCCTCGGCGTCACATATTCAGAGACGGATGACAACGGTGTTTGTTGACCGGAATGTCGCTGTTCCAATTGACTACTCAACAGCGGGTCTATATCTACAGATATTGTTGTTATACTGCTTGCTCGACGGAGCTGTGGTTCGCCCTCATCACCATTCTCCTTTGAACGGCGCAATGCATCGTACAAGGATCCAACCTGCGAGATATAAGGTTGGAATGCCTTGGATTCCACATATGGGATGTTGGTTAGAGCCACTGGGGGGATATCTCGAGTGGTCGGTGGTTTATATCCGCTTGAAAGTGCAGAGGCTTGTGGCAGAAGACCTGTACGAACAATAGGTTGTTGAAGGAGGGTAGATATTGCTATTTATATAGAACTTTACTGTTAGCACATTTACGCCACATTATTGTCATTTAACACCCAACCAACACCATGAGCAACAAACCATTGCGTCCAGCCTCTGCTATCCATCCATGGTGAAGGGAAGTGTCCAAAACACTCCCTATGCCGGTTATCGAGCTGGCCGTCGAGCTCCGCCTCGAATTATAGCGCAATCGCTGGGGTAAGCGGCCGGGATCGTACGGGCTGGAGGAAGAAGGCTGGGTTGCCAAAGAAACCGAGGAAAGAGATGCCAAGCTTTCCACCGATTTTCGCTTGTCAGAAGAGGTCATATCGAAAGAAGCACTGAAGCTAGTTGTCCGGCAGGATGACGGCTGCGGCTGCGGACACGCCGTGGTTCATGACATGCCTATGTAGTAGATACGGGGGGTACTTCATGGGCACTGAAAAACGTAGAAGAGAGCGACGGTAGTACAAGGTCATTAATTCCAAGACCAACAAGAGCGCTGCGGGCTATATCACCGTCCTCACCGAAACCCCAACCCGTCAGCTTCGAGATATGAAAATCGTTTTTTGAGGTTGAGCTGATTTTACAAGAGGCTGTTAATTGAAGCATAGGTGGCTTGCTGCGGCTGAGTGTGGCTGGAACTTTCCCTAAATAGGGTTAGGGCCAAGCACAGCCACTGACAAATCAAACTTCAGGTTTACCGCTTTCGGTATCGGAGTATATTATATCCGAGAAAGCACGCCAATAAACCACTTTACGCGCTGAAATAGACGCGTCGCGCTCGTTTGCATTTTGCAAACAGTTACATATATCTGTCTTGCTCTCAACACAGCAGTGGATTAAGTTTTATAACCTTGATCTTGTGCATTACATGACCATGGATAGAAGAACGCCATACTCATTGAGTGTCCTCCAGCCTCAAGTTGGCGGTCCGGAGGAGCCACGCTCAAAAATCCAGGCACAGTTGAGAGAGTTCATCCTCGCCTTCCAGCTAGATAATACATTCGTATACAGGTAAAGTATTACGTTACGTTGTTGCTGCTATCTGTGTGTCGACTGACGGAATATATAGAGACCAAATTCGACAGAATGTGCTCGTCAAAAAGTACTACTGCGACGTTGACATCGCCCACCTCATTGCATACAACGAAGAGCTAGCCCATAGACTTACTACAGAGCCAGCAGATACAATCCCACTTGTAAGCTACTTTTCTCGTCTACGCTGTGAGTTAATAAACATATATTTTAATACGTCCTTCCACAGTTTGAAGCCGCTCTCAAGCAATGTACCCAAAAGATCGTTTATCCCTCCGAAAGAAATATCGAACTCCCCGAACATCAACTACTCCTCCACTCGAGTGTATCCCACATCACCATTCGGGATCTAAATGCGACGAATATATCCCACCTGGTTCGAATCCCGGGCATTGTAATCGGAGCGTCCACAATCTCGTCCAAAGCTACACGCCTCCATATTGTTTGCAAGAACTGTGGCGAGAGGGAAAATATCACAGTCGATGGTGGATTTTCTGGGGTCACCCTTCCAAGACAATGCAAACGCCCCAAGGAAAAGGGCGAAGATCAATGCCCTTTAGATCCATATGTGATAGAGCACGAAAGGTCACAGTTCGTTGATCAGCAGGTTCTCAAACTCCAGGAAGCTCCTGACCAGGTACCCGTCGGAGAACTTCCCCGACACATCCTCATATCTGCAGATAGATATCTTGCCAACCGGGTAGTACCTGGGTCAAGATGTACCGTCATGGGCGTGTTTTCAATTTACCAAGCAAAAGGCTCGAAAAATTCCACAAAGAGTGCCGTTGCCATTCGAAACCCGTACCTGCGGGCGGTTGGGATAAGCAGCGATGTCGACCATACAGCGAAGGGCAACTCTATTTTTTCCGATGAGGAGGAGCAAGAATTCTTGGAAATGAGCAGGCGTCCCGATATCTATCAGGTATTCGCCAATTGCATTGCTCCGTCAATTTATGGAAATCAGGATATTAAGAAGGCTATTGCATGTCTCCTTATGGGTGGCTCGAAGAAGATTCTACCAGATGGCATGAAACTTCGAGGAGATATCAATGTACTGCTGCTGGGTGACCCTGGTACTGCTAAGTCTCAACTGTTGAAATTTGTGGAAAAGGTCTCTCCAATAGCCATCTACACCTCCGGCAAGGGTTCTTCTGCTGCTGGTCTTACAGCCTCTGTCCAACGGGATACAACAACGCGCGAATTCTATCTAGAAGGCGGAGCAATGGTTCTTGCAGACGGTGGTGTTGTGTGTATCGATGAGTTCGACAAGATGAGAGATGAAGATCGAGTCGCCATCCACGAAGCGATGGAACAACAAACCATTTCAATTGCAAAGGCTGGCATTACCACCATCCTCAATGCTAGGACGTCCGTTCTCGCTGCCTCGAATCCAATTTTCGGCCGGTATGATGATTTGAAAACCCCGGGTGAAAATATCGATTTCCAGACGACTATCCTGTCACGTTTTGATATGATATTTATCGTCAGAGACGAGCACGAAAAGGGCCGTGACGAGAGAATCGCAAGGCATGTCATGGGTATCCACATGGGTGGTAGAGGGGTTGAGGAACAGGTCGAAGCTGAGATCCCCGTCGAGAAGATGAAGCGGTATATCAGCTATTGTAAATCGTAAGTCACGACCCCACCTCAATACTTCCTTCTCATGCTCTTATTAACACACATAATTCCAGTCGTTGTGCCCCCCGTCTCTCACCAGAAGCCGCAGAAAAGCTTTCCTCCCACTTCGTCTCCATCCGCAAGCAGGTGCACAAAGCCGAACTGGACGCCAATGCCCGCTCCTCAATCCCTATCACCGTCCGCCAACTCGAAGCCATCATCCGAATCACCGAGTCCCTCGCAAAACTCACATTAACCCCAATCGCAACAGAAGAACATGTCGATGAGGCAATTCGCCTTTTCCTCGCCTCTACCATGGATGCAATCAATCAGGGCGATGGTCAGGGGAGCAAGGAGCTAATGGCGGAAGTTGGTAAAGTTGAAGATGAGTTGAAGCGTCGATTGCCGATTGGGTGGAGTACGAGTCTCGCTACGTTGAGAAGAGAGTTTGTTGATGGAAGGAATTACAGTGAGCAGGCCTTGAATCGGGCATTGCTTATATTGCAGCGGCGGGATACAGTGCAGTTTAGATCTGGTGGGTCGCAGATTTATCGTCATGGGCCATGAGATGTCCCTTTTTTACGTTGTCATTTGTACATTGTTTTCATTTCTGGTTGGAGTTTCTTGATGTTGTGCATATCTTCTTTTTCTTTGCGGGTTGTCATTTGTTCTTTTCCTTGTGTTTCACTAAGAAAACAGTAGTTATTAAACGAGTTCACGGTTCGAAAAAGAACAATTTCAGAATGATGAACCGTCATGCAGATTTGGGGCTTCGTGGGAAGTTTTTATTTCCTTTATTGATTTAGGCACAGACAGGCATTACAGTTAACAATGTCACAATATGATGATGAATGTCAGCGTTCCAACAATGAGAAAATTCATAACTTTGGCAGCATTCCTACACTTATTCTTCGACTGCAAGCAAAATGCCATCAGCTCTACAACCCTTGAAGAAGGCTCCTCTTGCCTCCTCCAGGACCAACATTCTATTCGAACTTATATATACCAATACCTCCATGGTTTGTTTCCTGCAACATTCCGTCAGTAACGCAGAGTTAACTACACTTCGGACCTGTGTTGTGCTAACTAAGCCTAAGTAAGCTTGGTTGCGCTGGTTCCTTTGAAAACGTCACCTCCCCGGCATGATTCCAGTGTCCCGATGTGATGCGGGTTCCATTTCTATCCAGCAACTGCTCTGATATGCGAAGTTTGTGGTGGTGGGTGCTCTTGACCCGAGCAAATTATTGAGTTGTGAAGTGAAGGGGAAACATACGCGGTTTTAACTGTCCCTACTACTTTCTCTTTGAGCTTGAGTTATTTTCAACTGATTTCTCGACCATCTCATCGTTCTTAGCTACGCGCTGAGTGCCTTTTCATATTAACTGAAGAAAAGATTGAGCGCCGGATGAGAAGAAAAGGTACATCGTGAAGAATGTGAAGTTGTTTGATATTGAATTATGCGGAAGCTAATGAAGGAACCAAAACCCTTGAAATGCATTATATGAATATATCAGGACATCCACAGCAGTCATTGTTTCACTGATACTTTGGAGAGGGCTTACTTCCTACGATGGCTTTTTTTTATCGCTCCACCCAGTTGGTGCATTTCTCTCTATCAATTCATTTCTCAACGCCTTCAATTTCTCCTAATCACGCCAAGACGTTCCTTGCCCGTCCTGAGTCACAGACAATATCAAATATCATGTGCAGTCATCAAGGCGCGGAATGATGACTTGGTATTTGTTACTGTTCAGGCAACACTGGCTCTTCTGCGCTGCTGCTGGGGCCTGAAGATGGATAACAGGGATCATAACTGAAGCACAGCAGCATCCCCAACTGTCCAATAACTAGGGGAATAATGAGATGGAATCATAAGTCATACAATAATAGACCAACGGCTGCACGTGGAAGCCGCTTTATGATATGTATGAGCTATGGGCTAGGAGCCATCAATGTTGCCCAAATATCCGTAGCTCGTTCTGCCATCCAGCCAGGCGACTGCACCTCTGTGCTCCGTATTAGCCACCGTGAATTGGCCAATTAGGTCTTATAGGAAAGGGGATTCGGCTCTTGTCCACAAACCCCGCTGACTGACTCCTATTATATAGCACGCACCTCTCATACTCAGCGTTGCGAGGAATTCAACCCTCTCTCTGCACGTCCGGTCGCTAGCTCTGGTGAGCAGATCCAATTGAGAAAACGATATGTTAAATTCAACGTTCCGAGCATTGCAGTGGCTAGAATGGCGGATCTGAAGAGATCTGACGATGACTGGGCCATTTCATTCTGAAGAATAGGGATATCAAGAAGAGAGCAGGGCATGACTGAGCCATGCCTTTCTGAAGAATATGACTTATTATGAAGGTTTATTGATCTGACTGCGAGTTAACTGTATTAACTACTTTTTAGTTTGTATGGATTATTAAACTAATTTCTCGAAGTTTCCTGGCATAAATGCTGTTTCTAGTAAGCTCAAGAAAACTGTTCTCTCTTTCTGCATTTTTATACTATTGGTGAGGGTTCTGGATAACTAAGGCATGATCTGTCAGGCCTATCCGCCTTCTTACGTAATCCGCACCGTATAACTATAACTTCCGCGTAGCTAGCGATCGCTTCATAATCAATCAAGCAAATCTATCCTTCACATGATCAGCATTGCCAAACTCCAAAAAATGACATCTGCGGGACTACCCAAACCTTCTAGAAGTATTCTTGACGGGATACTCTTCAGTCACTTACATCTCTGTATTCTTGCCCTCTGCTGGGAAATTGACTGGAACTGGAATGCCAGGCACTGAAAATCCGCTTGCATTATCTCCCAGCTGGTATTCAAAAGACAACTGCAAGCCCAAAACCACCCAAAAAATACTTCTCGTTTCAGGGGCAGAATAAACACACGGTAACGCAACCGTGGGCAAAAAGGCCTGTGTGCTGAAATCAGTGGGTCAGTGGCTACTTTTCAGGCACTCTGTTGCTTTTAGAACCTCTTTTTGTTGTTTGACTTTTGAACTTCTGTCCTTCTACATTTTTGATCTATTTTTAATCTTACTGTCTCGTCGAACTGTCTCGCCGAGACCTTTTCTGGTTGAGTGGTGCCTGCGATGGCGACCCCGGCGACCTCCGCCGTTCCCAATCCAAGCCGCAAACCCACGCGTCAGTGGATTGCAATGAACCATTCTCCACGGCCACACTGATCCCTGAGACGACTGAAGGCGTGTTCAAAGATCTAAATACACCAGGCAACTGTTCTCCCTCAGCACTTTCTTAGTTGAACAACCTGGGCCTCCCTGTAGAGCACATCCAAACTCACTGCTGTGTCAGCCCCTGCTGCTCCAGGACTGCTAAAGCCTCAGAACATGAATCTAGAGACTGCATTGACAGTATTACTCAAGAAGCTTGAGCTGATTCAAAAGTTCAATGTTAAAGTACGTGAGACAATCAATCAGTTATTGAATCAAATGTTTAGTTGTAAGAGCTTAACTCCCATCTACAATCAACATATATCTCTTGACTTTGAAGTCAAAATTCCCAACCTGAAGAGACAATATCTCAACTTAATGCCTAAACCTCCAATCCTTGGTCTCACCTTCACATGAGTTGCAGTGACAGGGAGAGTCAAGCACATCACTAGTTAACCACAAGAAAGCTTAATATTTAACTTAGAACTTCTTGAAGTTTAATAAATTTAGCAATTTTCAACTATTCTGCATTCTTCTTACATCTAGAAATTCTTATCAATCAAGTCAGGAAATGAACAAGATGAAAATATAATAAAACAGAAGCTTAAAAGCTATTCCCAATAATCTAGTGAAAAGTATAGATTAACTGAATTATCAACATCTGTGAGTATAAACATCACTATTATGTGAGTGTCAGGATATATTTGCGGCGAATGAGCAAGAAAAATACAGTAAAAGTGTACAAGATCTAGCTTGCTGAATTCAACATGAAAGGGTAACTAATTAACTAACTAGTTATTGCGCCTGCTGAGCTCATCGAACAACCTGCATACCTGCATTCAACCCTGCCCAACCTCCAACCTCCACCAGCAGAGTCCGGGCCGTGCATTCAAGCACTGCAGAGGTGCAGCAATTGTGACACTCTCAGGCATACAAGAATAAGCTGTCCTGAACCTAGTTTGGATTTGATTTAATTTAATCGGTGGTAATTGAGTGTAAATTAAAATAGAGCCATTTGATATATTTTGAATTGGCTCTCGCTCGCTTGGGAATTGCGTTATTTCACTTTAGGTACCCAAGTTGCGAGCACCGCATATCGGTCAAGTTGGGAACTAAGCTGGAATGGGAGGAGTCTCTTGCAGCGATTAAAAGACGGGACGTATTTTCCCTTGAATTGTCCAAGCACGATGAAAATCTTTAACGATATTGGGAGGATGTTCGATTCGACAGCGAATGACGGACGAACCAGTCACACCAATTTGCTCTGGCGAAAATCCCCAACACAGAGATGCGGACTGTGATTCCAACGGGTTTCTGTTTCTCCAGAACGGCTCAAGTGTGGTGCTCTTCGCGGAGCATTGCAGGACATTGGTTAACCGAACCCATAGTTACGCGGAGTTTGGGAGATCGATCCACGGTTTGCATTAAATATCCAGTGAGAAATATTTGCTATCATTCTCCACACGATTGAGTTTTCACTCCTATTTCCCCACCGGCATATGGATGTTTCCCAGCTTTGCTGGAGGTATTTCATCAATCATGGCACCAAAGACAACTCTTGGATCAAATGGAGAGGTCCAATTCGAACGTCGACGTCAAAAGGTGCCGCCGATCTTGCCCTTTCATACTTTGGTGCTAGATTTTGAGGCCTTGGAAAAGCTTCATTTTCATAGGGTCACGAGAACTCTCAAATAACATAGAAAAGAACAATCACAGACAGATCTCTCCCCCGTATCGATATCCTATGAGATCACCGGTATACCTACCTAGGGGCTACGATACTGGGAACAGGATATATTCGCCTATGGCGACTGAGGTATCATACCGAAAAAGCAGAATGACATCGTTCTATTGATTTCGTCTTGAGGCTGTAAAAAAAGTTTCTGCCTCTCAATTTGCTGCCCTGATGGCTCCACGGGAAGCAGAATGCGGTCTAAAAACAAATACTTCGATGAATGTCAATGTTGTTCATGGCGTTCCAAGGAATCTGCTATCGTCTTATTCGCTCGGCAGACAATCGGGTTTCGCACATCTTTGAAAATCCCCGAATGTTCCTATTTATTATATCCGATGGGCAATCCAAATTTCGAGGGCACAAACACGATGATGTAACCAATTCAGTGTGGATTGTGTCGGGTTGGGTGTGATCAAATCTGTTTGAGCCTGCTGTGACAGGTCGTACATCCCATCAACCAAATATTTCCATTGGGCAGCCAATATAACTAACATACATCGCGATGACAGTAAAAGAGACCAAAGAAGCTAGCTGCCGTGGTCATCGCGGAATCCTTCCATTCCCCCATCCATGAGTCTCTCCCAAGGTATGCCCTTTCCTCTCTCCCAATAGCAGTCCACCACACGTTTTCCCGGTCAACTTGCTCGCAAGGTTTTGGGGCAAATGGAAACCACCGAGGATAGATCTACTGCTTAAGCCACCGCATCTCTGATAATCTTATTGATACCACTCGAGTCTCAGTCAAACTGCTTTATCCAATCACAGGTCTTGCCACCAGTATCGGGACTTTGAATCCTTGGTTCAAATTCCCTTTCCCTTTTTCAGCTGCCAGCTCACTAGCGTTGATCAGCCATGTTATGAGATCTTTCGGCCTTACGACGCCGTTATCCGTGACCAACACTTTCAGTTTGATTGCCTTCCTTGATCAAGTCAGATATGCGAAACCGGGGTTGAGCGGACACCAAATACTCTTGGAAGTTTAATACACCTATTCTCTCACAAAGCTCATTAAAATTCAGTGGAAGAATTATGACTCCTGCACATTTTTGCAGTATCGCAGTTCCACGCCATGCGCATACCCTCGAATTCATAGATGTATATTCAGCCACACAATGACATGTGCCTATCAAGCAGGCTTTGGCATACTAGCCATAATTTACACTTGGCTATCAGAGGCTTGCGCAACAGGATATTTCTCTGATAACCCCTCGGGAGTGGTGGTCGATGGAATCACATCTCATCAAATCACAACACATTGCATTTATGCAAAGAGCTTGGGGTGGGCGTTATTTCTCTTGCAGGAATCTCTGATATGGATCCTGACTACGGTGTGATCAATCCACAACTCCCCCCTTATAACTTCTGAAAATCTCATGATGGATCTGGGCTGAATTTGAAATCCCGACGTCGGGTGGCCTGCCACTCTCTCCAGATCGATTGTCTTCCCATCAATCTGATGTCGAGGGGAGATATAGGGGACGATGACTGAATTTCACCGGTTAGAGAAACCCTGTTTAAGCTTTGATCCACGTTTGGAACCGATAAAAAAACGTCTTAGACGTTAAGTTCCACGACAGGCGAACTTCTCCCCGTCAACAGAATGAAATCTTCAGGGAGAATGCAGCAAAAATGGACGATTGACGACGACGATGATGATAACGTCCGTTACCCACCCAATGACATCCAGCCAGGTAATGGCCAGTTGAAATAGACGTAACTCAAGATTAACTTGTCATGAGATCTTGGAATCTGTCAGGGTACTGGCCTGTTATTTCAGATTCGACTAGACGCTACGGCAATGTAAAAGGACAAGGGGCAAAACCAAATATTGAAGCCCATTTAAAAAAGGAATACGAGGAATCGTATGCCGGATCCAATCACTTCTTGCCAACGAAATCAAGAATCACACGGTGGAATGTTCCGATAGCGAAACCAATTTGTAGCTCATCACCTTTACTGCTGTCATTTAATACCTGCTGGTTGCAATCGGCAGGGATGTTGGATGGCAAGTCTTTCTCGGCATCAAAGGAACGCCGCGGTGGGAAATGAATGCTCGATATCAACTCGTCGTTCTGGCCATTTGCCAATGAGAGCAAGATATCCATCAATTAACAAGGGAGGTCTTGAAACTAACACACTAGAAGTATATATGTGTATTGCACAGATATTGGTCACTCTGAATTTCTGGAGGCTTGAAGTTTCCCCTGCATCTCACAACCAAGGTCATTCCTGATCAGGTGAACCAATATACAGCAATGCACAAAAGTCACACGCAGCGAGGAATCTAGAAATTTAAAATCGAAACACGAGGGCCGCTTGTACCTCACCGAGCCTTCTCGGTCCGAAAAACTCTAAGAAACGGACTAATTGTTTTCATCTATTTATAAATATATCGTGTTACAGGATACTTGAATACAAACCTCCCTTTTTTTGTTTGATTCACGAATTGGCCCGGACCCCAGTAACCAGTAACCAGTAATCTGATCTCAAGACAATCCATAAAAATTAAATAACGGCCGAAACAAACAGCGGCCCGTGGGCCTTTTCCCGTGTAGCAATCCCCATACTTTCTCCATTGTCCCTCTCTGCAACATAGAACGCTCGCACTGCATCCCCGTCAAAATGCTGTGACCTTGTGAGAGGGTAGTCAAGGTAGTTATCTAAGCAGGTTTTTCCAGAGTTACATCATCTCGCCATTTGCCCCTGTTGCGTTGATCGAACTTAACATCTCATATAGACATCTATTCTTTCTGTGTTTAACACGGGCATTTCCACGCGTTTGCATGGCTCCTAGACAATAAAGTAGAACCGTAATTGGTTAGCTCCCCAGCTTAAGGGTCCAAAAATGCTAGAGATAGAGACGCCGTTTATGCAGGTGGCTACCAGGAGACAGGCGGGTAGAATCCAGAATCCAGGGTGTGATATAGCCAGAGGGCTCGGTACCCAGCATTGTCCATGCGTTTATGAATCAGCGGCAGAAAATAGCGACGTAGGTTCTCAAACGTTTGCCCTGGCCAACAAACAACCTCCAATTCCAATAATCACCATATGCTCACGGACGTATGTATGTATGTGCAGTCCAATTTGCAATATCGTGGATATGGAAAAAGTTGGATAACGCCCAATCCCCCATAAAATATATTTTTTTTTACTCTTTTCATAAGGTTATCTGACCCCATTTTTCTGCAGCTTAAAATACATAACTTAACAGAGGATATATCAAGCATGAAACACCAGGAAACAATGAGAGCAAGTAAACAGAAAGTGAGAACAAAAGAGGGAACCGGAAAAGATCGGAAAATAAAACTCCTTGAACACGAGGGCCGGAATCGTCTGAGGAGAAAACGAGGATGATGCAGCCCCAAACTCAGAGCACAGATCAAGCAGGGAGCATCGGATCAACCACCATCACCAGCAAGGCGTCAATAACATGCATGTCAATGCCGCAGTCAACGGCTGCCATGTGACGACTGAAGAGAGGGAAGAACAGAAAATTCATTACTGAGAGTATTGGGTGAAGGATAGATCGAGGCGATGTAGTACTTCGATGAACCGGTATATACGCATGTACAGTACATAATTACCTTCCTGCACACATAGTTTACATATGATAACTACCGTTTATGTCAGCCGAAGGTCCTTTATATAATCGCTGAAACTACCGTATACAATCCCATCGGAAGCTGTTCCTCCTATTTTGATCTATGAAATGATAAGAGTGGTCACGACAGAAGAGGAGCAAGAAAGCAATAGTCAAGGGAGCATAAAATAAATTAATAAGGTTAATTTTCTTCTTGTGAAGAATGTGCTTCTTAAAAATTTGTCCCGGGCCGTGCAGTCGGGTAACTAGCTGACCGTGAAAAATTGAGGGGATATAGACGCCGCTAGACAATTCGCCAGATTGCACGACAGCGACCGTACATGACCTGACAGGGGAGAACAATGCAACACAGTATCTTCGTTGTGGAGTTGATTGCTTGGCATTCTTTGCTTTGCTGTAAGGTTGGTGTTGTTTGCCAATTATGGGGAGGATACCTGCAGCGGCCGGATATAGGGTTCGTTGAAGGAACTAGTTATGCGGAAAAGATAAGTATTGGCAGCCGCTCAGAGTTTCTGTCCTACTGGTCCAGGATGCCATACCGTGCCCCAGACTACCAACGTCGATGGCTCGAGGGATCCTGCTTGCTTGTGAGAGGGAGCCAAATTCTGGGTATAAGAAAGGCGTCAACGACGTCTGCTGTTTCTTGTTCCCTAATGGTTCAAATCTGCTGGAATTATAACAGTGAAGAAAGAAACGACGTTAATTCACCTTCTTGCTATCTCACTTGATCGTTGACATCTCAAAAAGACAATCGTAACCCACATCATCAAAAAGATCTTGGGCACAGTAGTTAGGATACACCCACCCCTAACCGCCCAAGAGGCAACACCAAACACGGAGATCATCCCAAACCCAAAAGGACACAGCCATGGAGAATCCAACCATCACATGCGCCTTCCCAACCCATCATGAGGTCTCAGACCCAGAACCCAATGCTATCCTGATAAGCAAGCGGGGAGATGGCATCACGACGATCGCCATCAACCGCCCAGAAAAACGAAATGCCATAAGCATCCCAACAGCCAAGAAGCTTCACGCAGCATTCCTCGACTTTGAATCCGACACATCTCAGAAGGTCTGTGTATTTTACGGCACCGGAGGGACGTTTTCAGCCGGTTTCGATCTAACACAGTTGGAGACTTGGGACCGGCCCACATCAGACACTGCCCGACATTCCAGCATCACCCGAACATACTTTGAGCCAGTCCGCGGCGAAAACATTGGTCCGCTCGGCCCAACTCGTATGCATGTTCGAAAACCAGTTATATGTGCAGTCTCTGGCTATGCTGTTGCTGGTGGACTTGAGTTGAGTCTTCTTGCGGATATGAGGGTGGTGGAGGAGGACGCTGTATTTGCGGTCTCCAGTCGGAGACTTGGAGTCCCGCTGCTGGACGGCGGGACTGTAAGACTGCCGCAGATCCTGGGTCTAGGGCGAGCCTTGGATGTGATATTAACGGGAAGACCTGTGAAAGCAAAGGAAGCTCTGGAGCTGGGGTTGGCGAGTAGGGTGGTGCGGAAGGGCCACGCGCTGGAAGAAACAATGAAGCTTGCCCAAACACTGATGGCTTTCCCGCAAGAGTGCCTGAATGTTGACCGACATTCGTGCTATTACAGCGCATACAGTGCACATTCACTCGAAGACGCATTGTCTCAGGAGTTTGAGGCAGGTTCTAGAGTTAGTGATCTCGCCATCGAAGCAGGGCTCGGATTTGTTCAGAAATCGCGGAGGCAGTCGAAGCTTTGAAACGAAAATGATTCCATGATTCCTGGCATATAAATCTTCAAGACAAAAATCTTCAAAACAGAACTTCGGGTCCGGAAACGAACCAGAGAAATGACGGCCAAAGGCCATTGTCCTTGCATCTTCAATTTCACCAACGATTATTCCTTTTGCAGTTCAGTCTGTATAATCCATTCCATGGACTTTCCGCTTATTATCCGTGTCCGCTCCGTCGACAACCGCAACAGCACATATCCCACCTCATGTATTTGAATTTCACGATATGAAAATCATTTATATAATGTTCTATTTCTTTTATCATCTTCCCTTCTACTTTTGAGCTGTAGCTAGTGAGCATTAGTATGGTAGCCCATCAATCAAACACTGTTCACAAATTAACAGTGTGTCAGGAGGCAATATCAACAGATTGAAAATACTATTCAACGATGGCTGCAGAATGTCCTTGGTGAACAGGAATCCTAATGGCCAATTCTTCAGCCTGTTCAAAGATGATGGGCATTCCGCCTTGAAATAAAGGTATCAATTGTAAAGTGTCGATTTTGACGGCGAGCATGCTGATGGTTGAACCGGCTGGAGTAGGAGTGGTCGCTCGCTCTCCGCAGGACCCAACGGGTCCATTGACATGGGCAATGACAGCTTTCCGTCTAGAATAAATGATCCAAACACACAGGCGGATGCCGTGTTCTATCCTAAGCAACTGGAGCATGGAGGATGGTGAAGTTGAACGGTGGAAGAGGAAGAAGTGCGGGGGACAAACGGCAACTATTAACTAGTTACGTCATCAGAACTTAGTTACCGGAGTTAACTACCCCCCTTTTTTCCAATTGCAATGCTAATTCTCAACTATTAACAACAATTTTATATCAATTGCAAGACAGGAATAAGGGATACATATAGGTATCTTGGAGATATCGTGAAATGCCTCTCACCAAGACTATATCTTCAATTGCCACTCTCACCGTTTGTTGAATGGGCCGGTTGGGTGAGTACAACCTTCCTCCCTCTTATCACATAACTAGTGAACTAACAATCCAAAGGTGTCTCTCACAACATACATCATATACTGTACCAAGCCCTCGCATCCCCCTAAAGACCACATTTTCAACCCAAAAATAAACCCAAACCCAAACCCAAAAGCAAAAGCAAACCCCCCCGCGAGGCTGCGATGGATAAATGAACGGATCAAGTCCGTGCAAGCGCCGTATGAGAGGGCTAACGGTAGAATCTAGAGAATATGCTCGTTTCCTTTCTTTCCCTTCATTTCCTCTTGGTACATCAAACCCGCTATGATAGCATGGTGGGAGTACATAGATATATGCAATGGGGGGGGCAGCAATATATTTTTCC